ACAATTTCAAGATATCTTACAAAATGAGTAAGCAGGAGTAAGCTTTACATTCTCATCTAGCAAGAAAAAATACTCTAAAATATCCAATTCAATTTTTTAGTATGTGCCTAAGTTTAGGTTTCGTATCAGAGGCATTAGCAGTAATGAAATCGATATGATAAAGCAATTCTTTTGGAAAAGTTGCCCGACAAGATTTTTATTATTCAATGTAATTTATCAATTCAATTTTAGATTATTTCACGATGTGTAATATGATGAGTAATTCATATGAAATTTAATTAATTGATTAAGATGACTCACATTTCTTGTCGTCTTCGTGTTCAACTCATTTGTCATTGTTATCCATTGTATGTACGTTAACTCACAAAAGTATGAAAAGAAAATGAATTTTTTTATCAATCGAAAACTTTCTCCTTCTTAATGCATTCATGTGGAAGTATTGAAAGAAGATGAAGGGTAATCTTGTCAAAAAGTCTGTCGCGATAATGTTTATATTATATTTTCAATGTAAATCTTATTTATGTGCATATATTTATTCACAATATTCTAGATAAACAATTTTTTATTCGTTCTATTTGTCGAAAATTTTCTTTCATTCTTTTTAAATCGATTGAGGAAGCAAAAAAGTTGGGAATATAGATAGAAAATGAAGCAGAAGTTATGCGAGAAATGGGATATGAAATTTTTCCCATCTATTTTCTCATCGTTCGATTCATGTTTCAAATAATACAAAAGCATTATATTCAGTTTATCATTCCCAGGAAATGAATAGAAACAGAACTACAAGAATACGAGCGATGTAATCCAAGATTTTCATAATATTTCAATGTTTCATACTGTGGAAAAGTTTCCCAACCCTTCACATATTTCAATTTCATTATTTTTTGTCCTTGTTAAAGTCCACACGTACAAAGTAAAACTTTTCATTCTGAAATATTGTCAAGCATATAATGTTTCAATTTTCTTTAATCCATATCCGGAATGCTTTTATAGAATGTGGTAAAAAATTTAAACAACATTGTAACAGCTAAGAAAATAATTGAAGGACTTTTGACAAAAATGCTACTCATATGATAGTTTAAACCATAGTAATAGCACATAAGACTAGATTTTTATGATTTATACTCAAAAAGTTAAAATAAAAAAAATACAAATTAAAAATAAGATTAATGCAACCTCGTTAAAATCATTATGCATTGTATGAAAATATTCCAATTTGTGTAAAGTAGAAAGTCATATAATCATCTACATAATAAAACCCACACTGGGATAATAAAGTTGATGAAACTTTTTACTTTACCTTAATTGTTTATGCTGAAATATTTTTTACCTTACTTTTTTGACTGAAAATGGAAAAAGATATAAAATTTCTACCTTAAATGCAAACGAGAATCTCAAATTAGGGTTGAATTAAAAACGCTTCGGTTTCTCATTTTTCAGAATAAAGCATTAATTTATTTAACATTTCATCGTTTTTTGTTTTTACAAAAAATTATCGTAATGGTTTTGAGGTTAGATTAATTAAGCTAATTTGGGAACCATAATATTTTACTGATTACAGTGCGAATATCTGTTATGATCTTCATATAAATAAAATAGGATTTGAGGCAAATGAGGATGCAGACCAGGTTTTTTAATTTTGCAATATTATTTCATAAATTTTAATGCTCATTCTAAATATCATTAGTTTATTAGCAATAAATTTAGGTATATTTCACATAACACGAACGTGAACATAATTTTTGAAAGTAAAATGTCACATAAAACTAATTTTTCATTACAATAATTCCAACAAACTCATTTGCCAGCGAGAAGTTAATTGTCTTTATGGAACAATTCATTATCAATGTTAAAAGGAATGTTAAGTGTTTCATTTAAGTAACATCTGACTATTCAACTACTGCACAAGGTCGGTAGTATAATTTAGACTGAGGGGTACAAAAATGATTTATGAAGACATTCATGTGAGATGAATATAAAAAAAAAGCATAATGTGAGTGGAAGAAAGAGAAAATAGTGCTTTTTATATCATCACACAGAGCATGTATTCTTTTACATCAAATATACTTTATAACTCAACGTAATTCAATCCTGTCATAAGTGTTTTACAAGCAACAAACTGAGTTTATTGTTTATCATAAATGAATAAAAACATTTTTATGCTTAAAAATACATCAACATTTTTTTGCTTGTTTTTTGCGGAGAAATTTTGTGGCATCTCGTTGAGGAGAAATAATTTATTAAGTTGCCTTTTTCATATCTCACGTCTTGTTAAAATCTTCGCTAAAAATACATTTGTTTAATTTAATGAAAAAGAAAAGTTTATTATGAGAGTGTAAGCAGTTGGTTTGATTTTTAACATATCTTTTTATACAAGTTGTTTTAACTTTAACAGTCATCAACGTTTAAAATGAAAAAAGGGTGGTCTGAAGCTAAATACGTCTTCATTAATTTTCATTTGTGGATTTGTACTAGGTTTAAAATTCAATAAATAATTTTTAATTTTAGCTGTTTTGAGACCAATAAAATAAATTTTAATGAGCAACTCAAGAAGTTGATTTATATTCAAGAACACTCTTGAAGCTTCAATAAACCTGGGAAAATTTATTGAATTTTTAATTGAACTCAGCAAGCTATTTCATGAAATGCTTTGACAGAGAAACACGAGTTCCATTTCTAATTCTCATGTATTTATATAAAAAGATATTTCAAGAAATATTTTTAACTTTTAAAAAAGAAATTCCAAGATTGATTTTTTAAAAAGTAATGTTAAGGTGTAATGATGAAAACGTGCAGTGATTTTTCATACACAAAGTCATAAAGAATTTTAACAAAAGTTTCGAGTTAATTTTTTCTTATCCAAAAATGCTATTGACGAAGCTTGACAGTCCAGTTGTCAACGATGTGATTATACCGTCGTTTGATGTTGATGGCTGTTGTTGTTGTGGTCGATATGGTGGGAGGCCGATCACAGGTTTTGGAACGGGACGCTCACCAGGCTAATGGAAAATCATGATATTTTATCATCATTTACTGTAATTCTGTTGACACACACTCATGTACAATTGGATATATATATATTTACAGTTGTTATACTTTTTGAACATTAATGCTTCCTCATCCTTCTTTATTAAATTACCACTACTAACATTACCTACCATTCACCACCAAATTTTCAACTCAGTTCTTGCTTTAACGTATATACAATAATGATTGATTTTTATTTACCATCAATGTACAAACAATTTTAACCATTATGATAACAAATTATTTTTCCAATTTTAATTATGCATGAAATATTATTATTTGGCTATAAAATATTGAAGCTTTACAGAGAAATCTTTTTAATAATGGGTGCATTTAATCTGTTTATTTAAAAGCTACGAGTCATTACCGGTTATGATATTTTAAAAATTTAAGTAGTTACGCTTTTGCACAAAGCTTTATTTGAAAGGTTTTAAATTAATAATAATTTATACAATTGCACTTAACAACATAATTCAGGATATCAAAAATCGATCCAAAAAAAACTCATAATCACATTTTCAAAGTTTAAATATCAAATTAAAAAAGATTTAACAACAGAAATAGATTCACAAACTAATCGAAACTAATTATAATTAGAAATATAAACAGAACAGTAAAATCAAGTAGTGCTTCAAATATATTTACATTAATTAATTGAAGGTTATGTCAATATTCAGTTGCAAAATTACATTTTGAAAATCCGATTTTCTAGCTTGTTAACAGCGTTTATGATGCATAATAAGGATTATAGCTCGGAATATCAGAATAATTTATATTGCAAATGACAATCATCATTATTATAAAAGTCGGAAAATTTGTTTTCCATATTGAATGTCTGCGTCATAGCTGCTTCATCAACATATCATATTATGTTTAATAATAAAAATAATAATATTAACATTATAGAGAGCCGAGAAGATATAATGTGCTATGTATATTAAAAGCAATATAATTCTCGTTGCTGTATGCATATTCATATTAGCTTAATCTAAATATTGGCAGACTGTTTAGTAGTTATCAAGTAAACTTTATATATTATATCTTTGCATCAATTTCATTTTCACACAGTTCATAAAATATCATTCAAATAGAATATTTTGTAAAATGAGACCAGAACTGGTAATTGGAAAAATTTATGAGTAAATATTTGTTAGTAAAATTATTTTGGTTAAGTATCATTAGGTATGCTTTATCACTAGCTTTTTTAGGGTTTTTTACTGAAAAGAGAAGTAATCTATTAATGCTTAATTTTTGATGCTTTGAAAAAATATGTCTTAATCTCCAAAATTAGTTTTTAAAAGAACAAAAGCTACTACATAAGTTGACAATCCTCAACTTTATTTGAAATTTTAAAAATAAACCTATTTGGGACAAATTCTTAAACATTTTTACATTAAGTAAAATCATAAAATCACTTCAAAATGATTAATAAAGACCAAAAGCTGAGTTTATTTAACTTTAGAAACTTGATTTAAATTTCAACAATTTTAATCACGAAACACAATAGCATCACTATCGACTGTCGGTTGAGTATTAGGTGCATAACATGTTGAACACGATGAAGGCGATTGATTTGTTGGCAGTGAATTTATTTTAGTGTTTTGCAAGTGTTCTGTTGGAACTTCTACAAATTGATAGTGTCCCGGTTTTTGTTTGTGCGGTTGCTGTGGTGGAGGTTTTGGTTTCATTAAAATTCCATATTTCTATTATGTGTATCAGTTAGCATTGATATGTGTATATATTAAAAATGTATACATGCGTGCGATATCCAATTGGGTTAGAAAGCAGGTAAAATGGGTATAAAAATGTTAGTAAATGATGAAAAAGTTTCTCACAGGAAAAATCTCATTAGAGCTTTCATTTTAAAAACAATGTAGAAAATGTTGAGCTATAATCTTTTACAAGAAACTTATAATACCAAGAATGTATGTAATAGTTTGCAAGCTACAGATTCTCAAAGGATTTTTTTTTGTGCGATTAAAACTTATCAAATGAAAGTGAGAAACTTTTATCCCTTCTATGTTCTACGAATTAATGTTTTTTGACATTGTAAGCTCTTCTTATAAAAGATTTGAAGAAAACTTTTGTATATTCGTTTTCAGAAAAATACAAGAAAACAAAGCTTAACCTCTATACATCCTTTATACACAGAATTATAATTGAGTTCTGAGTATTAAAAATTTAGTGATAATAGAAATAAGTTTGTTGATAATGAGGACGTACCTTGGCTGGCGTTAAAGTTACATTTAGCAACGTCGGATGTTGATCAACCTAAAGATACATCATTAAAAAAATTATATGAAAAATTTCACAGTTTTTCATATTATCCTTACCACCATAAATTCTATTTCGCGTGGTGAATATCCATCCGCATAGACCTGTAGAATGTATGAAAATGTCGAGAAAGAAAAGAACGAAATGAATTTAAATTTTTAATTGGATTAAATGCAAGCGAGAAAAATTATACATGCAACAGTGTTGGAAAATTGCTTATGAGAAGCATGAGCTTTTTTATGAAAGTTCATACAATTTAAATAATGTAAATTGAGAGTACTTTGTGAGATTATCAAGAGAGTTTAATGGTATTATTTTTTTTTTGGCGAAAAGTGTTAATAAAAATCTTTTTTTTTCTCTCTGTTGGCTTTATAACGAAATTTCAATTTCACACCTTTATGTTTATAAACTTAATGAACAACATAACACAGTCGACAATTAGATAAATTGATTTAAACGTTTCTCATCTTAATTTTATGATAAAAAGTCAAAAAAAATTTTTGATTTGATTTGAAAAAAGTTCAAAATGTCATTTGAGATTTTTTTGGAGTTTGTGAATATTGAAACCTCGCTTTTGAACAAGAAAACTCTCGAATCAGTTTGTTTTGCAATTTAAAATCTCAATGAATTTTCTTAAAAAAATACAGACTTAAATTCTCTTTTTATTTACATTTACCATCAATAAAGTTAAATGTTTGACAAACATACCTCAAGCTTATAGACTCCTGGCAATAGAATTCTCCAAAATTCACCATATTTTGTTGTCTGAAAACCAACATCACGACCTTTAACTTTCAGTGATGCTTTTTCAATAGGAATGCCATTCTGATCATGAACAAACCCTTGAACTCCACGATGAGCTTCAGCTAAGAATTTTACGAGCGATGCCTGATTGTCTGTCCAGTATTTCTTTAACTCATGAGCAGGTGGAAATTTACAGCACGATATTTCAAGTGTAACTTCATAACATCCATACCAGATGTAGTTATAATCTTGCATTCCACCTATATGTACAAAAATAATATGTAAATTATGTGAAGTTCATTGTCAGACATTTTAAAGTACTTACCAGTTAACGGATACCATGCTGCACCATTTGTAATTCCATTTTGAAATGATGGAGTACTTGCAGAACTTTTACATGCGACACCGCGTGACATTTTAGCATGATTACTTGCATATACCAATGAGAGATGCTTGAAGACGTCATCGTCAGGTGTAAGTGATGGAGCTGATGCATATGAATGGAACACTGAACCCAAAGGACATGTTGAGTGGAAAAATAGGAAAAAAGAAAGAAAGAAAAAAAATGAAATTTCTTCCGCAATTGCATTTTTGTTACTTCACATCGAGTAATACTACTTGAACTTAGTTAAGTGTACTCACAGGAGCATGTCGATGACGATCGACAAATCTCTAAATGTTGTAAATGTTATATACGTATATATCAAGTGAGTGCATTAAAATTGAATAAAGAAGAATAAGAAGAATTTTTTTAAGGTTTTGCAAAAAACTGTTTGAAAATTTATATATTAAGATTTAAGAATGTATATCCGGCGTTTTATAAAGGGCATGAATGAGACGGAAAAATATTAAAGCACTTATGCACGTACATCAGGGATATGCATGCTAGAGATAAAGAGTAAAACGTCTTTACTTTCACATTTTTTCGAGTGAAACTTTATACTTTATTGAATATGAATGATCTTGAAAGCATAGGGGTGAACAGAGAAAAGATATAAGATACTTTTATGATGATATATTTTCAGTAAAATTATTTTATAAAGCCTTTTCAATGAAGCAGTTTTATGCTTAATGCTTTCTATTTCAATTTCAAAGTCTTTAGAAATTCAAAAGAAATTTTGAAATACAAAACCTTGGGAGCTGATTAATTTAATACTGTATTAAACTTTGCTAGCATTCTGAATGAGCTTATTCATTAAAATAATTAAATTAAGCTCAAAAGAATGTGAAATGAATTTCAATGTGTAAATTCAATCCACAAAGCTGTTTAATTTGATGAAATAAATTTCGAATATCATAAATAATATTTGAATTAATAGAGTTTTCAATTTATGATGCTTTCAGGACTAAAGCCAAAGTAACTAATAGTCTTCAAAAGTTCAAGTCATGTGATAAATTAAGAAGCTTTATAGAGAGTCCTCTTAAAAAACTTACTGCATAAATTCTGTAAATCATCCTATTGAATTATTCAACATTGAAATATTCAAATTTATTGTAGCTTGGGGACATTAAGCTGTGGATTTATATTTTATGTATGATTTATTAGACCTATTTACTTTTCAAGGTTATTTTTTCCTAATGGATGATTTTTTCAAAGATGATATTAGCAAAAGCTTACATATGAGTAAGATTTATTTGTTTAGTATGATTGAACATGTTGTGATTTTTCAAACATCTTTAAACTATTATGAAAATCTCTTACTTAAACACATTAACTGTAATGAAGATATTCAGCATGTTATGCTTCACATTTTGAATCCATTTTCCAACTCTTGAACCATAAAACTGCATAAAACTCATTCGCATATTTATCAAAGCAAAAAACAAACATTTTAAAAAGTAACTTTAATGGAAATTTAATGTATATATAGTGGAAAGTATATTATGTCATACTGCTACAGATATATTACTATCATCATTACTTTACATCTCAAACATGACATTACCGTTCTTATGAGGTAGTGAATACCCTTTTCATCCATATTTTTTTTTTATTTCTTTGCTGTGCTTTGAAATAAGGAAATTTTCTAGACGATAAGTAAAAGTGAAATTGGAGAGAAAGGTCGAAAGGCTTACAAGCAAATAAATCAAAGAAAATTCTTTGAAAAAGCAATGGAAGTGATTTTTGATTTTTGTTTCTTTTCAATCTTAGTCGTTTACATTTTTTCTGACCTTCTCAAATCATAGACATTAAGAAGTAAGGAATGGTTTCAAATGACATTACAAGTTAATGTTTACACTAGAGATGCAAAATAGGATGAAATCAAGACTTATTTCCTACTACCATTGACGTCATATTTTTAATAGATCATGTTACATAATAAAAGTTTTTATAAAAGCAGTTGGCGAGAAAAATGCAGATTTTTTAAACTATGAATTTTGATATCTTTTTATTTATATCAATACTTATTAAAAAATTGTTGAGAAGTTTATCCACGTAAATATCATAAAATTCAATCTATTTCTTCTCTTGCAAGAATCTCATGCTTTTCTCTAAATTAAAAAAATTTTTAGAATCAACTCTTGAGAATAAGAACATAATCCATAATTTACTTCCGTACAGAATTCATGCAATATTGAAATTACCGACAAAGTTATTTTCGTTATTTCTATGAAAAATTCATTTTTCAAAAAGAAATTACACTAATAAATTTTACATCCAGTAACATGGGAAGCATTTCATTCAATAAAATGTTGCGTTACTTATGAATGAGTATATAAACTGGGGATGGATTAATATCACGCCTATTATATTGAGTAAATATTCATCGTTGCTCGATTTCTATCAGATCTTTAATGTCAATTTGCATATCATATCGTATTTCATTTTATGAACTTACCCGAATAGACAAAGAGCACGCTATGAGCGCGCTCAAATTTAGTGCTGAGCATGCTCGCGTGAGCGTGCTCTTTCATACGAAAAGTGATGCCACTACTTTACGCTAATGAGCACGCTTTTTGAGCATGCTCTGAGCACGTTATTTTAACAAATTTTGAGCATGCTCAAATTGTTGTGTGACACGCAACATTTTTTATGTCATATGATGTGACATTTGAGTACGCTCAGTGAGTGTACTCGTGAGTGTACTCTGAGCATGCTCACTGAGTGTACTCACATTATTTTATAATTTTCAAAAAAATTAAATTTTGAAATTATTTTTTTTGATATATTTTACTATTGTAAGGTTTTTAAATGTTCTAGAATAAAATTTGTTCATTAATAATCTGAAAAAGACACTTAAGAAAATTTTGGATTTTACCTGGATTCGAACTTACGACCGCTCTGTTGCTAAGACCATTTCCATAACCATTACACCACTGCTGCAATTTACCTAAATAATTTATTATGGCAAAAACTCATATATAAACTATAACAAAGTTAAATACTTCGAAATTGATCTCAAAATGTTTTTAAACAATGTTTATAGTTAAAAAGTAGATAACTATATATAATTCTAGAAACTTTGACTTGTGAAGTATATAAAAAATCATGAGCATACTCAGAGTATGCTCAATATATGTGCTCTTGAGCACGCTCAATAAAATGTGAAATCTTCAAAAAAAATGTTTTTTTAGAGCACATTCACAATGTGCTCACGAGTATGCTTAAGAGTGAGCATGCTTAAATTTGAGAATTGAGTATGCTCATGAGCATGCTCAATAAAATGTGAAATATTATTAAAATTGTTTTTTTTGTGAGCATATTCACAATGTGCTCACGAGTATGCTTAAGAGTATACTCAAGTGAGCATGCTTAAGTTTGGTAATTGAGTATGCTCATGAGCATGCTCTCGAGAATGAGTATGCTCTCGAGCATGCTCAATAAAATAAAAAATTTAAAAAAATTGATTTTTTTGTGAGCATATTCACAATGTGCTCACGAGTATGCTTAAGAGTGTACTCAAGTAAGCATGCTTAGATTTAGGAATTGAGTATGCTCTCGAGCATGCTCAATAAAATAAAAAAATTCAAAAAATTTGTTTTTTTGTGAGCATATTCACAATGTGCTCACAAGCATGTTCAACTGAGTGTGCTCAGGTGAGCACGTTAAATGATGATTTTGAGCATGCTCATTAACGTGCTCACAAAAGTGAGCACGCTCTTTGTCTATTCGGGTTAATAACTTCCTCAAGAAGCATGACGTCATTTGGAAATTTGCTTTTAGCAGGAAGCCAATAATACAATATTAAATCAATAAAAAAAAATCTCTAGAGTAAAGATAATTCGATAGAAACTTTAAAAAATCAAAAACATAAAATTTTTGAATGAAATTTAAAGAAGTTACCGAATAAAGTTCGAAAGAAGCGTGCATGTTTATGTCAGATGTATAAAGAGAGAAAAATCTTTTCTGCATTTATATTCTTGCAGCGAAACATTGTTTATGTAAAATTAAAATGAATCATGCATTCATGAGTAGGGAGAAATTGAATTTGCTCTTTTCTATATTAAAAATCTGAACTGTTGTGTATCATACAATTTTTGATTGACGTCAGGCATATTCACGTTTCACCTGATTAAATTCGTTAAAAGAATAAAGGATTTTGTTGTTTTCTTTTCATTGGATTATCGATTATGTTTACTGCATGTGGCGACAAGACTGAGAATTAAGCAAAAAATTAATTATAATTTTAAGTAGCTACCATGAGTTTATTTTGTGATCTACATTTGGTCTCCTGTTTAAGGAGCACTTTTGCTTCATTCAAACAAAAATTCAATCTGCAGTAATTTAAAGATTTGGGTCTAAATCAATATAAGTTAAAGTTTTGAATTTTTACAAAAATAAAAAATCAGATAACCAAATGCTAAATCTTAATTATAAGCAAGATAACGAATACCAGAAAGCTTTAGCATAATTAAATCATGATTATTAATTAATTGTGGAGTTAATTAAATGATTAATGAAATAATTAATTTCCTTGCTTGTTATTTCTTTAGATGGCTTAAATGTTCGTCTATCAATTCTTTTTGGAAATTTTTCTGGAGTAAAATTAAGCATTGTAACGACAGAAAACCCGAAAAATTCTTTAACAAAATAAATGCAATACACAAAAAAATTATTCAATTTTCCTTTAAAACAAGAACAATACACAGGTCGGACATTTAAGAAAGGAAGCTCTGAAGATGCTTATAAAATATTAAATTTTAAGACCATTTATCTGCCTCTTATGTATCAAATGCACTTTTGAAAGCGGAGACAAAAATTGGATATTTAAGCTTTAAAGTTATATCCCTTGGGATAATATAAAATTCTTTAAATTACTTTAATTCAATTTTCTCATTTTAAAGATAATGTTTGCATTAAATTTTGTGTAAATTTGAATTCGGTAACATACATATCTAAACTTTCTACTTAGGCTTCATTTTTTCAGGAAGGAAAAAAATATTTCATGCAAAAATTATGATTTTCGGAAATTTTAAAAATCTTTTCTTTTTACGATTCTTTAAAGTTTTAACCCAAAACTTTTTAAAAAACTTTACGTAATGCAAAGCAATAACATAAGCCAAATAAAGATTTAAGAAGGATTGATGCCTTTTCGCGAGATTTTAACAATTCATCTTCGTTGTACTAATCATGTTATGTTTCATGAGCTTGGGTACATCTTTAGAAAAAAAACGAGAATCTTTGACTATGAAAAAGAAGTAAGAAGTGAAGTAAAATGCGTCTTGTTGATTTATGTAAAAGTGAACCGTACCAATTTTTAATCATAACTTAAACGACGTGAAACAAGAAAGAATGCTTCTCATATAAAATTAATTGCCATGACAGAAAATGTGGTTCGTTGTGTTCACAACAACAATCCATTTTCCACTGACTGTTTTATCGCAATTTTTCACATTTTTCTCTTTTTTATGCTCAATGAATGAAATAAAATTTTTTCATACATTTTTGAGCTCTTTGGTCATGAAAAAGCACATGAGAATTTTTTTTATTGCCGCACCGAAAAGTAAAAGAGAAAAAAATAAAGTCATGAACAACTGACCCTTTTCGGTACGGTTCGGGCCATTTATGAAAATCAAATAGATTAAAAAGCTTTCTACACACAAAAAAGATAAAAAAAATAGCATACACAAAGTGAGTGCGACGTGATGAAGAGGTTGTTTTGTACTTTTCGTTCTTCTATTATGTATACTTACTGGCATTTGGAGTGTTGTCAAATGGGTAGCTCGCAACCTAAGGATGCGAATTGAAAGAAAAAGTATTTGTTTAGAAAAATCATTTAAACATTTATTAATTTTGTGGACTGAAGCTTACCAATGCACCGCCATGTAAGGAGCCACTTAATAGAAACTGTATTTTTGAGATCCAATCCTTAACAGCGTCCGTTTCTGGTTGAGTTCGTTTAGTATTTGCTTTAAAATAATCTGGGAAATTTCGATTCAGGTCATAGCCTCTCGAGTTTCCTCTATAAAAAGGCGAGTATATAGTATAATTTTTTTATGGATTTCTTTTTGTATAATAATCTGAATTGAGTGTGTAAATTGCTTTGAGTTGCCAGAAAAAGCTCATTGAGAAGGAAAAGGACTTCCTACTCAAAATAATCAAATATATGAAAATGTCATTTATTACCTTCCCTTTCCACCTTCACATTCACCCTCACGAGAGGCTGCATATCCATCAGGGTTCATCGACGGCATTATATGAATTCTTGTGTTATCCAAAAGCCACTTGATGTATGGATCTGTATAGTAGCTTGTCATAAAATATTGAATCAAGTGTAAGAGCAATTCACGTCCAACAGCCTCATTTCCATGAATATTTCCAATATATTTGACATCGGGCTTGCCTAGCATATGCTCATATGGTGATGATGATACCTACATAATAATCATGAAATAAATGACATGTTCTTGACTAAGTTCAACTTGTGGAAAGATCAAATATTGATCCTTGTTTGCAATTAAATTAAACTTTCTCAAATTGAACTTTACAGCAGTTTAAAGACTGTCTCATACTCATGAATTTATTCATTTTACTTACCACCATCACCCATAAATCACGATTTTGAACAGATTTTCCTATTGTGATTTGAAGACAAGAGAAATTGGAGAAGAGAATAATTTGATAAATTAATTATAGACTAAATAAATGAGATAATTTAGCAGAGTAATAAAATATTATACGAGAAGTAGGATGAAACATTTCCTCTTACCTATTGAGTACAATGCTGTAAGATTTGGATACCTAAAAGCCGTTTGTCTTTATATAATTTAATGGAGAAAAAGAGGAAGAAAATTAGATAAAAGAGAGAATAATAATAATAATGTTATGGAAGTTAATTAAGATTTTTTTTTTCTTTTGCTTCTAATCTAATCATTTTTATAAAGATTTAATTATAGGGCAACTGGTACCAAAATGAATCTTCTTAGATAAATGATCCATTTGGAATCTACCTATTATTTTCTAAAAATTTCAATGTTCTGCTATTTTACTTTCATTACCTTAGAAAATTTGTCATCTCTTCATGATTGTGATAAACGAAATCCAATGTTTGCGGAGCTGAGCCGACATCATATGGTCTAGACAGCTCAGAAAATTGACCATAAATCAATGTCTGACATGATAAAAAGAGTATCACAGATAGTAGACAGTACCGAAGCATCTTGAAATTGAAAATAAAAAGAGAAAAGAAATCAGATTAAAAGATAAAGTTAATAAAATTCTGAAGTTATTTATGGCAGTTCTGGATTGTAATTGATTGTGGAGTCATAGAAATTTATCATTTTGGGGTTTGTAATTTGGGGTTATCAATCAATTTCATCGCGTGAATGAAATGTGGCTGCAAACGCATTACAACGTTTTAAATTATCTCAATTTTCATTATTGGTTCGTGTTATAAATTTGAACGATTTATCCAATTATTCTCTGATTCATACTTTTGTGTGGCAACGCATCATAGATCATAAGTTTATTAAAAAATGAAATCCTCAATCAACAGTAATTTTAATTCAGTATATGACATAAACGTCCTCATTAATATGATTCCATATTTAAACGTTAATTATTGCAGACATAAATGAGCTCCATAAAGATAATTCCATTTCTTTTTTTGCAGTCGTTTTCCAACGCGACGTTCTTATCGTACATTGTGAATGATAAAGTTTAAGATGGTTTAAATAAATGAAGGAAAATATTTGTATGTTCACGATAATGACAATGATAATGATTCAGGAAACTTTTATAATACGTGACAGCATAATAAAGGCTTTGGGATGTAGGCAAATAGAGAGTAAAGCGTTATGCTTTTAAAGTAAAAATTAAGAGTGAGAGACAAAAAAGCTGAAGCAAGCAGATAAAGGTATGAACACATATAAAGTTTAATGAAGGTGGAAATGAGCAGAAGATTGAAATGGTAATGTGTTTAACGAGATGTGACAGGAAAGTCCTTTTCAACTATCAATAAAATATTTTAAAATGTTTACTCAGCACACACTCAATGCCTCCGCCTAATAGGATTTCCTGATTCAATCAGGCTGTGTTGATATCAAAAGTGAGCTTTAACACCGCCTTTATGTTCAACATTTTGCCATGATGTGATGTTTATTTAAGAAACTATCTCTTTTATTTAGCAAAGAGGTAAAGAAAATTTGATTTAGAAACAAAAGCTTTAATAGTGAGTCTGCTGAGGATAATAAAAACAAAAGCACAAGAATGACTTCCATCTTCGTTTAAGTCTTTTGTGCATCATTTTCTATAGACGTTTTTTATCGCCTTAAGCACGCTTTTATTCTTTGATATCATTCATTATAAATGAAGCATGATGTGCTGAAAGCAATGTACTTACAGACACCGCAAAGAACAATGCCATAGGACAATAATCATTATTTTTTGTGTCTTTCTTTCCGTTATGAGAAAAGCTATCAATAAAATTACTCGCCATATTTCACCGATTTACATTGGATGAAAAGGATGAAAAGTAAGACATTAAAGTTGCAAAGATTCGACAATCAACTGTGAATAAATAGTAAAAGTTTCATCACATTTCCCAAAATGTTAGCATTAGAATTATTTCATAATGGTTGGAGTTGTTTTGAATTTCATAATATAGGTCATAAACATTGTGTCCAAATTGATATAGAAAATAACACATTCGAATTTTAAATATGTCTTGGACTCAAAATAAAAGATTCGCAAATTAGTATTAAAAGACATTTACTGATTTAGAAGAGGCAAAATACTAATAAATACTTTTTGTGTCTGTACGTTTGGGTCAAGAAAATATTCAAATGTTTTAAAATTTGATTTCAGATTGTCGATTTATTTATGGTTACTACAAATGCAAAGAAGCTTTCGATTAGTGTCAACCAGAAAAATCCAAGTAATAAAAAATTAAAATTTATGACTAAATTGGATTAAAATTCCATTTTATAGCTATTGTGCTCTTCGGGATAAATTCGAGTTCAGAATGTATTCATTCATAATCATTTGATCACTCTCCCAATATACTTGACCTTTAACAATGCTCTTTGTATCAAAAAAAAAATTAATCTGATTACATTCAGCAGGTATCAAAATTAATTCACAATATAAAATCCAATTGTTCAGTTTAAACTCAAACTTTCATTTTTTTGCAAATTATTAAGCCATAAAAAATGCTTGATATTAGTTACCATCAAATCAAAATTGACTGAATATTTTACGTAACTTCCACTATAATTTTACTTTGAATGATCTATTAACATAAAAATAAATTTTCATAATAGCACTGACATAGTTTTATTTGACGGCATTTTCACTTAAATTAGCAGTAATTGCAGCATCATATGAGTGACATGTATATTAAAACATAGTCTCCTTTGTTTACTTTTTTATCCTACTTGACAAATCTTATTATGTCGCACAAATAATTTAATACTATAATGCATTACTAGTGAGCACTTTTTCGTCAGCAACAATTTAACAGCCGTAATTTATTCGTAAACATTTTATTTAAATACCTTCAACAATGATTTCAAAAAAAAAATCTTTTTTCGGTTCTTCTTTCTCTCTCAACGATTCAACAGCAACTGATTGAATTAGAATGGATGAAAAAATGTCTGGCTTAAAAATTCAATGATGGAAATATTTTTTTTTTGTGAAAAATCATTTTTCTTTTTAATCGAGATATTGTGAAGTTTTATTTAAAAAAATAATACCATAAAATTCAATTTCCGGTTATGCCATCATCATCAACATCGTCGTCATGATTGTTTGGCAGACAAAATAAGCAAGTGAGCAAGCAATAATACCACACTTTTTCCATTTAAAAAAATAGTAGAAAAAATGACGTGCAATGCCACACCAATGCTATTAACAACAGCAGCAATAGCACCAAATGGAAACAATAACAAGTCGACAAATTATTATCGTGATTCAATAATTTTCACATTTCGCTGCTTTCGAAAGCGAAACTTTTTTTAAATTTCATTCTGCTCGTAATTTTCCGCTAGATAGTCTATTAAGTGAAATTGACAAAACAAAATATAGATGTGAAATATTTACGAGCTTCAATTATCTTTCGAGGCATGCATAAAGTATTGATGTTAATAATTTAATTCATAGAATTAAAATCTATCTGGAGTTAACTACATATGTTTAAAATTAGGTCCGGTGAAATGTCTTTAATTGCTTAACATAGGTATTGTTAAGGCTATTTGAAGTATAAATTTAAGATGTTTAGAGTCTAAAATCTATATTAACGCCTCTTATGCCTTACAAGATTAATAAGAGTTTAACATGTAATTCATAACAATTTCTTTATTCCCAAAAATTCAAACATACACAAGCGGGGAAAAGTAATTAAATAGAAATGCTAAACCACTAAGTAATCGAATCTTTTTGAGGTTATTTATTTAAATTTCCTAGACTAGTATATAATGGTCAGCAACAAAATAAATTAATTCCTCAAATATTCCATTTAGTAATAGGAAGAAATCTTTTGCTTAAAATTCTCAAGATCAAATAACCCTCAATTGATTAGCAAACCAAACATCTTGAAATGTTGATGATTTCAAGAAAGGCAAAGGGTTAATTAGACGACAGATAACTCTTGTGTAGAATTCATCAAGAACTGGCGGAAGTACTCTTTCTTTACATTCTCGGAAGTCGATTAGGACTGAAATTAGAAACAAAAATCCTCTGTTTGTAACATGCGCACTAAATCTTTATCTAACGTTCTACGTCGAGCTTATTAGTTTAGTGAAAACGTAAAAGATCTTATTGAAATTAATTTGAAATTCAATTTGAAATAACGAAAAGGGCATATAATCAGATTTATTGAAAATGATATGCTTTCGCATTATTATTATGCCGTAATTTATAAATCTTATACTTTTCAATAGAAAGTTTTGGTTATTAAAAATTACCAGGAAATTCATTCATGGAATGAGAGGATAATTGAAATTAATTTTATCTTCAAAGTCACGTGCGTAAAAAGTAATTATGTGGATTGTCTATAGCTAATTACTAATTAAATTTCATAATATCAATTATTATCAGAAGGATATAATCAATAAAATAGGAAAGACGATATTATAATCAAACAAAACGCGATAATATAATTAGTTTTAAGCCTTAACAAATTTTGAATAGAAAGGATTTAATTGAAGTAATTAGAAAAAATTTAGAGCCATCACTTAGCGGATTAAAAAGATGTAATTATCTTATAAATAAACAATGTAATTAGATTTCAAGGTTTAATTAAAATTCTGAGCAACTTGCCTGCTTATTAAATTGTTATGGAAATTTCATGCTTACGATCTTTGTGGGAAAGAGTATGAAATTTTAATTTTCTATTCGAAATCACTTCCGTTGAGTGTATAATCCTGTGGCTAAAATTTTGATCTTAACTTTTGGTTATAAAAATTTGATAAACTTTTTTAAAAATTTGTTCTATAATGTTTGATACAGCGATTAAAATTTGAATGATTTCATTCCAAAAATATGAATTATTCTCAATTTTTTTACTCATCATAATTACTAATATTTCTGAATTTATTTCAGTTTTTATTTAATCTCATTTATTTTGCTTTTTTTCTGAACTTAAAGTGATATAAAATCAAGTTTTAAATTAATTTTTTTCTCATAATTAAAATCAAGTGCTTTCGACATTCAAAGGAATTTTTGGTTTACAAATCTCTCAATCAATTATTGAGGTGTAGAATATTGCGATTTAAAATTATCAAATATAAATTTTGTTGGCTAATTATACACTAAATTAATAATGTAAATCGAAACGAACTGCATACAGTTTGCAAAATCGATCAAAAAACTTATGGTTTCAAGTAAGTAAGCAAATAAATCGAGATAATATGTTTACATGAATACACATTCATGAATTAATCATACACATTAAATATTAACTAATGCTTACACACAAAGTTGAACAGACTGAAAATACTACTGAATGGGAAAAATATACTTGAATATTTCTAATATGAAAGTACAATTAACTAAAACTTTATTCATAGGTTGCAATTTATCATCGATAAATAAATATTCAAGCTTTCTATCATTCACATTTTACTGAAAGTTCTGCAGACAGTTATTATTAAGCTGGCCAAATAGTATTACTTTTTTCAAAAAGTTATAATTAAATTTGTGTTTGAAAAGTCAGTAAAAGTCATTTATTGTCATTTTGTTGTCACGAGATATATGAAATATTTCAATAAAAAAACTTTTCCAAACGTAAAAATAATTTATTATTGATTATGCATTGTTTGATGTAAGCTATAATTTGGAAACATAATAAAGTGAAAACTGTCAAGTAGTGGTGGATAATTTTGCAATTTGAGATAAGAAAAATTACACCGCACTATATACATGCGTAACAAACATATGAACTATCTTATAATGGGTTTATTATTATGATTACAATTCTGAATGATAAATCACAACCGGCCTGTTTCACTAAAGTGGATTATCCTCGATTTCGGATTATCCACTTCAGTTTTTTGGAAATATCTCCAGACACTTAAGATTTTTAAGAGATCTAATGAGAGATCAAGTTAGAGTACTCTGATACTTAAATTAACATATACTTAGAATTTTTATATCTTCATTAGTTTGAGAATTATAGCAAAAATCGAAGTTAATCTAGTAGATTTGGCTAGAAATTTGAATAATTAATACTTCTTAATGAAAAGCAAAAGTTTTAAGTACACAGAAATTTCAGGCATAGTTCACTCTATTATAATCCAAAATTAGAAATACCAGACCTCCCATAAAGTTTAAGATATTTGCAAAAAACTGAAGAGAATAATCCGAAATCGAAGATAATCCACTTTAGTGAAACAGGCCGAACAATTTTTCATCAAAAGACAGCGACAACAATGTTTAGACGCCTATGACAGTTTTACTAATGATGACAATATTTCTAACGTTCTCGTTTTTCGAACTTTCATGATGCTGACTGTAATATAGGATAGAATATTATCAGTTGAAAGAGTAGAAAAAAACCCATTCTCAAATGCCACACGATGAGTATATGTGCTTTTTAATATAGAGCAAAAATAAAACAAGCAAAAAAAAAATATAACGGAAAAATGTGAATGAATGTAGGCATCCATAAAAGTATCACCGCTTTGCTTTATGCCAGCAAAAGAGCGAAGAGAATAAGCACTAGGTAAACATATGAAAGACATATATTCAGAGGTATGTGTCATATGTCTATGTCATATAACGGTTGAATTGTGAGAATGAGGATCGAAAGAAAATGAAATGTCGAAGCTCATTTGCGTAAAAAAATCGGTGAGATTCTTGGAGTATTGAATGAAGTTAAACAGTCTAAAAGAGATAACCAAGAAAGGTTTTGAAATTCCATGAATAGAAAAAGGAATTCCTTTGATGTACATAACTTTAAGTGAATAGTAAATAAACTGAAAAATGTTTTGACTTTGATTCAGTGTGTCATCTGTTTTCTCACCTTGATACTTAACAAAAAAGTTTCTTATTTGTAGAAGGACTTAAACGTAGTGATTTAATCTTTTTTAATGAAACAGTGTTGCCAGCTTTTTGTGCTTATTAAACGCAGTCGTTTTGTGATAACAATTAAATTAAGAAAATAAATAAATAAATTTTCCATTCAAATAAGCTTCTACCTATTTCTTATACAAATTATATCAGAATTAAAAATATCTGGAACTTCCATGGATTGTTAAAAACTTCGTATAACATTTATTCCTCCCTATCAGCTACAAGTTAATTTTTCTAAGATAGTACTTTGCTATCAAATTAAAAGATTAAACGTATTGAAATCTGAATGTCATTTAAATTTTCTGATTTACATGCCGTTTGAACGCAGTGTACTGACAAATTTAGAAAATGCAATGTCAATTGAGATGACTGTAAGTGGTGGAATGATTAACAACTATAGAATTTCAATATAACTTGTGTGATATTGTAGTTATTTCGTTTGAATCAATCGAATTTAGAGTAAGCAAGATAAAAGTTCTTTTTATGAAAATCTGACTTATTATAAGGCCATTAACCTTAAGATAGTAGTTTTACTAAAATATTGTAGTTATACAAAAAAAATTTAAGTGATCAGATTTTTAAGTACAAACACTACATTCTATTGTATTCATAGCAAATCAACGGTTATGATAATTTTCGAGAAATTAGAATCTCTAATTGCAACCATTAACCGCACTTTACTATGAGAACTTTCACTCAATATGGTAACGAATTGTTTTGCTATTGACACTTTAAAACCAGTTTATGTACTCATCTTGTATTGAGATCTCAATCTATATATCATGATTTGTAAAATTATTTCACAAAACATAATTAGAAGTGTCACATTAAAATGCTTTTCATTCTCGTCACATGTACACAATAATTGGTTTTGTTTTTTTTTGCCTATATGGTCTATTGTATGTTGAGTGGACAAAATTAATCATGAGAATCAGGTGCTGTGGAAAGGCTGAAGTGAGAGAATACTCATTGTAATTGCATTTATGGCTCGTATGTACGAGAAAACAGAGAGAGAGTCAATGATAATATAATGGCAAAAGCAATGTCTCTTATGTGCACGAACAACTTGTACTTGACACAAAACTTGTGCTGATTATGCTTTCGTTGGATTCGTTGAAGAATAAGAAAATTGGGTCAATATCACTACATAAATTTCTTCGTTCTCTTTCGACGCTTTTTTCTTTCTTTCCTTCATTTACATTGCATGCTTGGTTCTTGGTCGGAGATTGATAGTGACTATTGATTCTGTATTGACCATGACCTTACTCTGTATGCACTTCCGTATGTGGCATTGAATTTTCAGAATTCTCAATGAAAGTAGTACAATACTATGTCAAGCTATTTTAATCCCACAAATTTTTTATGTAAAGTTGTTCTATATGATTTACCAAATACCTGATTAATTCACACCACGAAAATTCTTTACAAATTGTGTTCGATGACTTGATTTGGGACTGTCCACATTTATAAAAATAATGAATGTTTACTAATGAATTTAATTTTAATAGCTTACTTTGAGTATATATTTTGCTTATCGAAAAATAACTAGTCACACTGAATACAAAAAAAATTCTCTCAATTGATAACTTTTGAATAATTTAAACACAAAATGCCGATGCAATAAAATGTTTTTAAATATTTTTTCTATCCAACTGCTTCACGCAGCTGACAACGTCAAACTGAAACTGTAGCCTGTTATTTTAACATTGAAATACTTTGCGCATTTTTATTTCGGTGTTGAGCTTCTCCGTTTCTTTCTTTTTTTCTATACACATTCCTTATCTCTTGCTTCTATGTATAATACACAGAACAAATGTTATAAATCGATTTTAAGAGAGAATATACATTGAGAAATATACATAATGCTGTAAAATAAATACAACACCAAAAATGACGCTGATTTTAAACAGTGTGTGATATTTTGCATCGTTAATCTCTTTCTATCTCTCTTTGCTTTCTTTTATAACTTTATTTGTGTTACGAAATGTTAATTTTCACTCAATGTGGTGTTGTATTAACCGTCATATGTTTTATTGAGGTACTTTTATTTTTGGAAATTCTTTTATAAAGACTAATTTGAAGATTGACCTTAGTTGACAGTTGATATTTTATTTGGCTTCTTAACATACTTTTAGCTTAAATGTCCTTAGAAATCGACAACTGCATTTAGGCATGATTTTTTAAAGACTTATGAAATAAGTAAAAAGCATAATAAATTACAGCAATATTCAAAGTTATAACTAATTTATCAAATTCTTATTAACATTAAATTTGGGCGTTGTTGACATAATCGGTCGACTTTTCCTTACTCTTCTCATTTTTGTGAATAGCTTAGTAACTTTAGTATCAAAGAAATGGGAGAACAAATGCTTGTTATTTTGAGTAGAATTCTCAAGTGGATTTTTTGTGGCTGCTTTATCTTCATCGATCTCTGTCGTATCTTTATATTCTTCACTTTTATATTTCAATGAATTTACAAAATATTCTGAAGATTCATTGATAGAAAATTGAGAATTTTCAACCTCAAAGGAAGTGCTTTTTATGGTGAATGATTCCAAAATTGCCTCTTTATTTGATGAATTTTCATCATTTGTTATTTCCAATCCATTATCGAATTTACTCTCTACATTTTCTTTTTTGCTATTATTACTATGGAACAGGTGGATTTTTGGAAGCTGTGTAGTGAATGATGCGGTTGATTTTGTGGCTATATGAATGAAAAATTATTGAATTTCTAAATTTATTTGATATTTAAAGTAATTGCTTTCCAATATTGATTTTCACGGAAGCATAGCAATTATTTTTTTTTCATGCTTTACAAGCTATGGCGATTTTTTTTTGTATGGGCTTATGGATCGAAGAATAAAATAAAAATATTTTACCTCTGTCATCATTCAAAGCATAACAAGATCTTAAATCTTCATATATTATATTTGCTGAAAATAATTTAATCGAAAAATTCAAGGATTAAGTTAAAGTTCTTAAATTACTTACATTCATCAAGTTCCATGATGATTTTATCTTTCATTGATTTTGTATCTATGGAATTTTTTGGCTCGAAGCTACGAGTGTCCAGTTTCATTTTAAACTCCGACATTGATTCATCAGAAATATTTTTTCTGTCTGAATATCTTTTTGGAGCAAAGTTATGGTTGGCAGTATCACCAACAAACTCTGATGAACCATTAGCATCGAAATTTATAGTGTCCATCATTTTTGTATTATCATCATCATCATTCGCAACTTCTACATTACTTGAAATTGAGCTATTATCTGAATGTTCCTCGTTCACAAAAAAATTGCCATTTAATGTATTTAATAGATTCCTTCTATATTCATTCATGTAATTTTCTCTACCATTTGGTATATTTTCATTTATTGGAAAGGAAGTTTCATCATTTTCATGTTTTGATGAGACGACTGGTAATGAGATTTTTATTGGAGGGAAATCATTTATAATATTAGAAGAATGATGTGATATTAATGAATTGTGGTCATTTGAGTTTGCGTTGCTATTAGCGTCCTGTTGACTTGAAACACGATGATGTTTATCGATTGAAAATTCCTCATAATCTTGAGCAGTTTCTTGTTCATTTTCTGGTAATGATAAATCAGTTTTATTTATTAAATTATTTACTCGGAAAATGAAATTAAAGCTTTTGAGTAACAATTGATTGATTTATGGTTGCGAAAGTTAAGGTACGAGGATAAAGGTAGACCTTTATTTTTATTGTCGACAGTTTATTATTGGTAATAGAAGAACCAAATTGCAAATAATGAAAAATCATCCAGATAATGACAATCCTAAAAGCAGCAAAAATAATCCTTGAACGAGTGAAGTAATATCATTTGATGCAGGAGAATTAGATCCCTCAATAAATCTGTAACAGCTAGTTGCTCAAAAGAAAGTGAATTATCCAATTCATTATGATTTCCATTATCATCGTTTCGGGTTGAGTTTTCTTCATGAAAAGATTGTGAATATTCGTGTTCTTTTTTTTTGTTATAGGATACTTACTACCCGAAAGCTCATTTCCATATTTATTCGAAACAAAATCTCCATATTCATCAGAGACCCAATATCTACTTGTCGTCGAATCAATTTCCGAAAAATCAATCGATTCTTCATTAGGATCAATCGAAGAGGAATTTTCACCCACTTTATATAGAGGTAATGTTTCCATTATGGAAATTCAGATTTTATCTAAATCTTCATTACCAATAAAAATGAATTAATTTTCTTCACGATTTACATCAATTTTTTTGTTTAAACTGAGTCGTGCTTTTTCATTTGTTATTTCAAACTCTGAATTTTCTGTAATTACTTTATTGTTGTAATTATAAGCAATTTTGGATGTTATTCCAAAATCTTCACTAAACTGTTCATCTTTATTTTCATTATCATCAAATATCTTAAGAAGACTTTCTTCTGTTTGTGTTGCTGATTTAATTATATCTTCATTTTCTACACTATTAAATGTTTGCGTGATTTTTGGTCTTCTTGATCCTTTATATTCTTTTCCACTCTTTTGTTTTATAAAATTACTTCTTCTTGAAGCATGTGTCGTGTAAATATTCAAAAAAATTGTTTGTCTGCATTGCATATGAGACAAATTGGTGTACCATCGTCATATACAGAAAATCACTAAAACACTTGTAATGAACCTCAACTTTTCCCATGCATGCAACAAACATTCCGCAATGTTCAGAATCATTAAATAACTTCAATGTATTTATTGAAACATTCTCACAAACATTATATCTCGTCTTACCATGCGACCGTCCATTTACTAGATGGATTAATTGAAGTGTAATCAAAAGTAGATTATAAATCCATTCCATTATTTCTATTTTAATCTATCGTTTTCACACTCAATTTCTTTCTATAATGAATCGAGAGCAACAAGACGTGTCTCAAGAAAAATAAGAAATGAATCAAACATTTTCATTTTCAATGACTTTTATATCTATAACTTTAATTTCTTTTTTATAGCATTCTATATGTTATTTTTGTCACCATCGTAAAATCTTATGGTTATAAAGTTTGTTGCAAAATTTCAATTCGCATTTGTCAGTATAAAGTATCAGAATTTGCAGGTCCTGAAAAACAGAATGTTGTAATTTTTCATTGATTTTGACAACTTTTCAATCTCATAGTGTAAGCTGCAGCTAAAAGAATCAAGCCTATTTGAAATACTTTTTTAAAATTCAGTTTCTTGTTTCCAAAATTTTATACTCATCATAAATTGATGACACCAAAGTTAAATTTCAAAAAGCTTAAAGGTTCTTAAAATTTTTAAATTAAGTGTTAAAAAGTATTAGAACCCTCCATTAACATATAAATCATTTGCTTCGAATAAATTGAGAAGTGTTTGATCAACACCTTTAAAATTAAATTTCCATAAAATCTAAATATCAAATTTTCCTCGTTATATCATGATGCATAAATTATCATTGTAGGAAATCGCTTGTAAAATTTTTTATTGGATAATCGAATAAAACCTGAGAGTAATTTATCTATTTACGTATCAACATGTACGTTGGGGCTGACATAGTAAAGGTATTTTGAGAGAAAAATCAATAAAAGTTCAATGAACTTGTTTTGTCAGAAATTTCACCTGTAATTTTCACAAATTTAGAATAAAGCTAGAAATTATTTAACATAATATTCCAACTATTTTTCATGCATACTTCAGGAATATTTCAACAGTTTTAACTTTTAAAATGTTAAAAAATTACCAGAATTAATTAATTCATTTGATCAACGAACTGCTTGCAAAATGAAATAAATCTTACAAAGCGTCATGATTAAGAATAATAGGACATAGATCACTTTTAATGTTAATTAAGTCTTAGGACGAAAATGAATTACTTGTTTACCGATTTCAATAGCTTGATTTCACATTAAATGCTTATTATTAATTTAATTCTGGAACAGAAATTAATTCGTTTTTAATGACTTGAAAAACTTTATTTACGACTTATTGATTTTGTGTTGAATTTTTAAGATAATGTCTGCAGATTATCATGATTATGTGAAAATATTTTTCAGCTTCATTACGGCACAAAATTTCGATATCATGGACTATCTTGAATTGATACCAACAAACTTTGTCTTATTTTCTTCAAAATACGTGTCCTTTTATCATGAAGACCTTGAAAATAATTTTAGGAATTTCCTTTTTAAATATTTCATCAAGACCAGAAAAAAATATCAACAGCACGGAGTGAGATAGGTAGAAAGATAGAAGAAGGTACGAGAGAGATGACAAGATAGAAGACGAATTATAAGAGGGAAAAGATAACAACTTTTTGGGTCGAACGACTACTTTCATTTTTCATGGAAGATTAAATATATAAAGTAACTGCTATATATAAAGCGTCTTTTATTCACTAACTGAATTTTACGATTACTAGAAATAAAAATTATTTATTTAAATGAAATATTCAAGTGATAAATTTTACCTTAGGATTGATTATAAAGGTTTTAGATTCATTTAATTTAATCATGTAATGATCCGCCCAAAATGATTTATTTTTCTTGGAAAATATTGTTTAAGTAAAGGAAAAACCTTTTTCTTCTGTTTGGATAAGCATTTATTGAAGTTTGAAAGGGATCTATAATTGTACATGACGAGTCTCCTCTTTTATTACATTGCTGTTGATATTTCAACTTTTGTGCTACTTCCCCATTCTTCTTTAATTAAAAATCATTACTGTTTCCATAGAGTAAGCACAATAAGTAATGAAAGGGTACAAGTTTGTTTACAAAGAATTATCGAAAATGATATTTTCTGAAGAAAATCAATTTTTGTTTTTTAAGAAAATTCTTCATGCCATAGAAACTAGTTAATTACAATTCAGAATCAACAATAAAGAATTATTAATACTTTATTACAATAATTGTTCTTCATATTTTCCTTTTTTCCTTTCATTCGCATGACATTTTTTCCTTGCTGAAAATTGTATTTTGTGCACATGTCAACGTCCATGCTTTATTTTTAGCACATTTTATAAAGTCGGAATATTTTTCGGAAGGAAGTAGAAATGATGACGAATCACCTTCTTTGGAACGACATTTTGATTGATGTGATGCTTTTAACCTCTTATTAACAATACAATCAGAATTAATGTTTTCAATACATTGATACTTGGAAGGACTAAATTCATATCCTTCTTCAAAGTTCTTTCTTATTCCAATTCCATTGTTACACTCAATAAATTCATTACAATTTTGTAATATAATTGCTTGATTACTGTCTATTTTGATTTGTCAAAAGCTGGAAACTATGAATAATCTGATGATACATCATAAGATGATTTTAATCTTTTTATTCTCTTTTTTGATGCTGTCATTTTCATATTGCATGGTTCAAGACACACTCTTTCATCAGAAAATATGAACATAGATGCCTGCAAGCAACTCATTTCAATTTCCTCATTATGAGAACACACGATGAATTTTGTACAATTATTTATACTTGGATAAATAAACAAAGTATCATCACTTGCTGTGTCACAATACTTTGCTTGTGATGAAATAATTATTGTTGAAATTAATGTTAAAAATTATCAACATTTCTCTTTCACTTTTAGATTAATTTTCTTTATTTCTTCTCGTCCTCTTTTTATTATTTCACTTATTCAAAGAACGCTATCGTTTTACTTTACAAAGGTTTTTGTTATAAAAATCAAACGAGAAAAGCAAGCATTCATTTTAGAAAAATTTACATTTATATAATAAAAACTTTTATTACGCTCATCACTTTCAAGCTATTGCAACAGATTTACAAAGTTATAAAAAATTCTTTAAAATCAAGGTGTGAAAACATTCATTTAAAAGTCATAAAATATTTTGGAATCCAATGATTCTGTCGTAATTATGTTTACATAAAGAATTAAAATTTGAAAAATCTGATTTAATTGACAAAACAGGTCAATAATTTTTTTTCCTTACAATGCAACGTTAAGTACAATAAGCTCCAAAGCTTTAAATTTATTTGAAAACTTACAAACTGCTTCAAATTACCATTCATTGAAATTGATGAACAAAAATTCAAGATCGTGATAAGTTAGCATAAACTTTTTATTATATTCACACCGTTTTCACGTGTGAATCTATTGGTTTTGTTCAGATTGAAAAATCAGTTTTTCGCATTTTGTGAGAAAACAAAGCAAAATTGGTTATAAAAGGGCAAGAAGAAAAGTTTGTGCCTGAAATTTTACATCATTTTCAAAAAACAGATTTCAAATTGGTTGTGGCATTGCTGAGAAAATCGCAAAATACGCTTTCTGTAAGCAAACAAGCAAGCAAGCAAGCAAGCAAGCAAGCAAGCAAGCAAGTTAATCAGCAAGAAATCCCAATAACGAGACATCGTAGAGACTTCTAGTTTTTTACATTTGATCCGTGCTGCTCTATAGAAGAGCTGTATTGTTTTTGGGCAAGGTAGGAACAGCCGTTGCTTCAGAAAAAGCAAAAAAATTTCCTTTCTTACGAATTTTTTAAAACAAAAGTTGACTGTGATTTTTATAAAATTCAACTTTGGATGAAAATTTTTTTTAAAAAACTTTTAAAGAATATTTGGCATATTCGTCAAGCTTTATACCTTCAAACTTATGTTGAGCATAGCTCAGCTGACTGGATAGCTTTACATATATCTTCAAACTTATGCTGAGCGTAGCTCAGCTGACTCGATAGCTTTATATCTTCAAACTTATGCTGAGCGTAGCTCAACTGACTCTCTAGCTTCATATCTTCAAACTTATGCTGAGCGTAGCTCAGCTGCCTCTCTAGCTTCATATCTTCATACTTATGATGGGCGTAGCTCAGCTTACGCGATAGCTTTATAGCTTTAAACTTATGCTGAGCGAAGCTCCACTGCCTCTCTAGCTTCATACCTTCATACTTATGATGGGCAAATCTTGGTCTATCCATAAGACTTATGATAGTACGGTGTGAATATAATCCGCATTGGGTTTCTACCCGATACACTAGTTTCTTTAAGTTACTTCCACGAATGTCAGCTTTTTATTTTTCTGTGTGTCAATTTTACGGTCGAATTTACTATTATGACGAAAAGTAATAAAATGAAAATTAAATGATTCATGCTATATGAATTCAAAAAGACTAAAGATGTTGTGATGGCAACTTTGTACCCCACACAATGTTTTTAAAAATTTTAATTCCATCTGTTTTACATGAAACTTTTGAAAAAGGTTTCCAGAAAAAAATATCTTTCTGCTTTAAAACTATTTTCAGAAATGTTTTGAAAAAAAAAAATCATAAAAGTCCTGTACATTGTACATAATATATGCACTTAAAACTCGTGAGAGCTTAAAATAAGCTCTTCCTATTCAAAAATAATATTCTATTCATTTTTTTCTTTTATTATATTTCTCAGATCTCAGATAAATACTAAATAAACATCATGATGGCTATTGTGCCAGATCAATCGATTTTAGATGCACTGAGAGGATATGCAATCGAAAGCACAAAACAGCCAATCCCACGTCTAGTTAAAATCTACATATCGAGCACAAAAAATGGTAAGTCCTTTCCCAGATGTCACAGATTAAAATTAAAAATTATTTTGAAAAATTTTTATGAAATTAAGATTTTGTAATTAATTCAAGTAAGTTCAGCTCAGGAAAGAGTTTTAAAATTAAAGAAGTTAAGATCAAAAATATTCCATCCAGATACTCTGAACTTAACCCTTTTGTGAATGCTCATTTTTATTTATACATATGCATTTTTTACTATCCTTATCGCAAAACAAAAATACAATATAAACAGAATTCAAAGAGGAGAGAAAAGTGTTATTGGAAGTCATTGGACCAGAATTGCAATCGATTTACGATGATAGACAAATTGAGGTTGGTCGTGTTGAGTTTTTATTTGAGCTGCAAAGATGAATATCCTCTTTTCTTTTTATTGCTATTGTAGATTGAATTTGTCGATATGCACTTTGGCACTGGTACAAGTCATACAAATACAAGTGTCGATCTAGATCCATATGTGCTTTACGATCATCTCAATGAGATACGAACTTGTCATCGTGTGTCGAGGAGTATTTTCTTTATTGTAAGTTATGCATGAATTTCTAAGAGATTGTGTGAGATGGTTATCAATTTTGATCAGTCTTATGCATGATAGAAAAGCTAACAGGTTGGAAATTCATTTCAAGATCCTTAACATCTTTATTTTTATAAATACATACATATGAAAGGTAATGGCAAAAGTTTATATTCGGTCTGCTTTAAATCAGTTATTTGGCGCCATTTCCTTATATTATGTCATCACAAAAATAATAAAATGATTAATATCTTCACTCGGAACATTCGAATAATAAACAAGTTCATTGGACAAAACTTTCACGATTGTAAAAATGTTGATAACCGTATCATGCTTTCGATGACACAATCACAAACTTTTTTTTTTATTAGCCCTTAACTAAATAATTGCTATTAATTATAACAAAAAATTTTTTCTATCTATACATGCAGTCATTAATCAGTAACAGTTTGGGTGAATTTTGTCTGCCCGTTGAGATACAGTCAGATGTCTATAATGAATTAATTAATCTACTCACACCCGATGAGACTGAGCTAATGAAAAATTGTTATAGAAATGATAGCAATGCGGACATTTATTATCTACATACAAATTTTAGGTAAACTGATCCTTTTTTTCCTTATACTCGTAAAGTAATTATCATCATTAACATTTTGTTTCACTTTCTTCTTTTCCTGCTACCTTCCATTAAAAACATACCATTGACTTTTTTGTCGTCATCAAAATATTCATGTTCTCTCCACAAATTGTCATGTGATTACGCAATGGAAATGCTGAATATGACCACTTAATGATGTCAATGTTACTAATGATGTTGTTAATATCATAATAGAAATTTAAAATCTGATGAATGGATAACACGAAGCGGTAAATTACGAAATATTCTTGAAAACAAATTTGAAGTGCTTCATAGAACAACTCATAGTGAGAGCGTGCGAAGTGCTCTCAATTTCTACAGAGTGAGAGTCATTGAAAAGGAGATTAAAGTTGCACTAGGTATTTATAAGCTTTTCCTTTAAATTTACCATAAAAATAAGCGAAAAAGTTGAAATTAAATATTAATCCAGAACTACTAAACGCATATCGTTTAAAAATCAAATTTTTATATCTTTAATGCACACACCGAAATTTAATTATCAACTGTCAAAAAAAATCGTGTCTACCGGAAACTGTTAGGCAGTCTATCAAGACAAACAAAAAAAGCTTATTTCCTTTACAGAAGCACGCTTTTGAAAATTTCGATACAGAAAAACTTTCTTTTTTCATTTCTATAGAATTTACAGCAAACAGAATGCTTGCGGTGTTTCGGAACTGGAAACATAAGCAGACGTCTAGTGATATTGAGCGAATAAAAAGCTTATTGAAAGAGAAACTTTCGAGTGACAATCATTCAACTTTGGAGTAAGTTTATTTTCTTTAGGAAATGACTGCTCAGATTTTTATATGCAACATAAATTCTTTTTACTATTGCACAGAGTTGAGCATGGCAATAACAATGATTATGTCGATCCAGAGGGACATGACTCACATGAAGAATATCTTGCAGCGTTTAAACGAACGTTAATTGAAAAGCTTCGTGTGTCTATTGATAAAGACTTAAAATATGATCCGGATGGTGGAAAAGGGTATGCTACATGTTGTTTTGTTTTGAATGTATGCTCAATTGTTGATAATAATTTTCTTTCTTCCATTTTTTTTCGCCTTTTTTATCGCACGCATCCATGAATTATGTATTCGTTTACTCAGGAAACGAAAGACAGTTCAGGTGAGTTTTATGGCTTTTTATGACAGACAATTTAGGAGCAAAAAGGGAAAATTTTTTGTGTAGCATTTAAATATTTATGATGAGATTTTTATGATTTTTTTTTTCTTTTTGGAAACATGACAAAAAACAATAATTTAAGCTTGTATCGTAAGAAATATATTGCAATTGAATTGATCCATAATTCAATTAAATTAATCTGAAATTATCATAAATTTCATTGAAATAAATTTTGGTGCAGGCACTAACAATTGTCTTCTCATCGTTCCAAAAAATGTCACGAAATGACATTGAAGCAAACGTAAGAGAAGGCAAGCAAAAAAAAAATGAGCAGTAAAAAAATTCATTTCTTTTTCTTCATTACATTCTCGCATTTTAGCTTCCCTAAATGAATTTCCCTTGAGAAACTTTACAAAAATCTTTAAAATACTTTGGGAAATGAGAAATTTTTCAAGTTTAGGAATTATTTTGCACGCTTATGTAATGAAATATTCTGGCATTGAATTAGAAAAAGGTGTTGGTTTTAAATTATGCATTTAAGGAATTTCTCATTATTTCCTCAACTTTAATTTATGTTCCCTTTCACCCGATGTAAATAATGATGCATCACGTGATCTTAAGTTGTTTGAACAACAAACTTTTACATTTCCTACTCAACTATTAAGTTTTTTTTTCTCTCAAATATACTTCTTCCACTTTTCAATATTTAGGAAATATTTTACGAACATTCCGTACATTTATCCTTTCTGAATGAACATTTGAAGTCTAAAAGTTTTATATCATCAGCTGTGCCTGAAAAAATTGAAGCTCATATCAAATTAAATTATCGAAATGGTGCCCGTCATGCTCCATATTTTATTTATGGATCTCACGGTTGTGGGAAGAGCTCATTGATGTCGAAATTGTATGTTGAATGCATAAATTGGTTCACAAGTCCAAACGTGAAGGTTCACCGATTAATACGTTTTGCAAAAGCAACACCACGTTCTGCGTACAATTTAGAGTTACTACGTGTGATATGTCAACAGATATCAATCATTTTGAATATACCCGAAGGTTACTTACCAAAAGACGCATCATTTGATCCATTGTACATTAATAACTGGTTTCAAAACTTGCTGAAACGCACTGAAGATATGAACAATGAAGTGCTCTTCATTTTTATTGACGATTTACATAAAATAAATCCTCTGGATTGCGATATTGTTGCTGCTTTGTCTTGGTTACCAATTAGTTTACCATGGAATGTGTTCCTGATATGTACAGCACAGTCAATGGAAAGCTTAAAATTAAGTCCCATACAACGTGAGCGATTCAAGAGCTCTGAATTCTTATTCGACTTGACACAACACGAGATGAATATTGTAAAGGAAGTTGAGAGTGAAACATTTCAGAACTTTGTAAATAGATATTTTGATGATCTAGAAGAGCGTTATGGAACAAAAGGAATTGCGAGATTTTCAACATATTTAAATTGTACAGAATATGGTCTTACAGAAACGGAATTTTTAGAGCTTCTCATGCCAACACATGATTCTGATGCCATACTTGAACCACATTGTGGTGAATTCAATTTCTCGTCCTTTTGTAGTATTCGAAATGATATGGGTAAGTAAAGAATTTTATAATCATATTAAAGAGCTTTAAAAAGAATTCCTTTCGTCTCCACTTTTATTACTCGTTTGAGCTTCATACAATGTAAATGAAGGAACAACAAACATTTTCAATTTTGTGGAACATAAAAAATATATTGAAAGAAATTTTTGCGCATACTTTGAATAAAAATACTTTCAAGGATCTTATAAATGATATCCTTTGTTTGAAACAAGCTTAAAAATTTTATTTTAAATAATGAAGCACATTTAATGAACATTTAGAAAGCTTCGCTAAAGAAAGCAAGTTAAACTTTCAGTGAAATTCATTAAAATTATTTTCAACAATAATATTTAAACAGGAAAAGATCTTGTTTTTAATAAAGGCAACCTTTTTGTGAAACGCCCGATGCTCCCGTAGTCTTCCTTCTTCTGTACTTCCTTTATAACGTCTGACATTGCAGAATGTTTTTTAGCTAAAAAGACATAAAAATCATTGGTCAAGTTAACCTTTTTTATAAACGTTAATATTGAATAGTTGTCAACAAGCATTCAATTGCCATTCCTGTACCTCTCTAATATAAATTTAATTTGGAGCAAGTGCAGGCAGACACAATTTTATTGACAGTTTCAATTACAATGAAATGTAGAACAATACAAAAAACTCGAGATTTAAAACAATTGATAATTGAGTAATGTCTGCATTCAATACGCATCATATTAATTCAATAGCATAGAATGTGTCTACACATGATGATAGAGTTGAAATACGATGAAAATGGAAATATGTTCAATTAAAATTTCAAGCACAATAATAATATACATATATGTAGGCAGAGAAAAAAAGTTTATCAGAATACAGAAAATGAAAATGTTCGTTTTCCCTTTTTGTCTCTCTCTCTCTGTTATCAACTTGTTGCCTTCCGGATAAACATAATGGAAAAAATATTTTTCATGTCTACCTCGCATTTTACCCTGGACTCGCTAGCTGCATGAAATGTTAGCTCAATCGATTAATAAAAAATGTGTGTAATTCGCTGAACTTTTTCTGGTGTATCCCTTTATTTTATTTCAAGAGTCTTTTTCATCGCTCATTAGTTTCTTTTTCTTTCAATCCACAGCGCCTATGATTCGAGAAAAATTAATGTCAGGAAAGTTATTAATTGAATGGCGTCACGATTTATGTGCGGAAATAGCAAAGAAGCGATATTTAAGCGACTTGGAAGTTCTTATGATTTCTCATGCAGAAATTGTCAACTTATTCTTCCCTCAGGAAACATCAGATGATAGTGAGGAAATACATAGTGAAACGAGTGAAAAATCAGGTAAGTTGTTTGCCTTAACAGAATTTTATCACTAAAACTGTATTAGTAAATTAATGAAAAACTTAGCAACAACAAATAGATAAGCACGTTTTACAATAATCTGATGCTTAGGAAATAAGAGAAAATAATAAGCAGAACAAAAGTAATTTAAAAGAAAAATTCCTTCTCGTTGATTTCCTTTTTCGAACGGGAAATAAAATTATGGATAGACCAAGATTTGCTCAGCATAAGTTTGAAGGGTGGGCGTGAAGTACGGCCGAGACCCATATCGACACAGTTCAAAAGATATACCTAATTTATGTCATAATTATGTCAGCTACAAAAACACTTAGTTTGAATTTTGTCACCCTCGGGAACGCTATGAACCAGTATACCTGATTTTGGTCGAAATCTCGGCCATACTTAACACGTATTTGAACCACATTTTCTCATAAATGTTAAAATATTATTAAAAAGTAATTAATCCTGAATTATGTCGCTATTTTGTCAAGTGTTTTAAGACAAAGGATTTGTTTTTTGGTTTCCACAGTGAAGAGTATGAACAAAATTCAGATGGGGTAGTTGAAATTTTAGATTTCGATTTTTTTTGAGCTATGCATTACAAAAAGTAATATTGGTATGTGATTTATGTCAGAATTATGTCAATTCAAATAAAACATCGAAAAAATTTTTTTGACAAAAGTACACCATAGAAAATCAATTTTCAATTTTGGACTAGCGGCGACCCTAGTCAAAATCAACTTTGTCACTTTTTTTCTTCGAGGGTTTATCGAAACGGATTGAAACTTTGCATAAATATTCTAGTGCTTAAAACAAATACAAATAAAACATCCTAAAATTTTTTTGAGCAAAGAACCAAGTAGGAAATACATTTTCAATTTTGGACTAGAGGCGACCTTAGTCAAAATCAATTTTGTCACTTTTTTCTTCGAGGGTTTTTCCAAATGGATTGAAACTTTGCATAAATATTTTAGTGCTTAAAACAAATACAAATAAAATATCCTGAAACTTTTTTGAGCAAAGAACCAAGTAGGAAATACATTTTCAATTTTGGACTAGGGGGGACCCTAGTCAAAATCAATTTTGTCACTTTTTTCTTCGAGGGTTTTTCCAAATGGATTGAAACTTTGCATAAATATTTTAGTGCTTAAAACAAATACAAATAAAACATCCTAAAACTTTTTTGAGCAAAGAACCAAGTAGGAAATACATTTTCAATTTTGGACTAGGGACGACCCTAGTCAAAATCAATTTTGTCACTTTTTTCTTCGAGGGTTTATCCAAATGAATTAAAACTTTGCATAAATATTTCCAGAGGGCGAAGTCGACTCGAAATTTGTATGAAGTCGAGTGAACTCAAGTCGACTTTTCCATACAAAATCCGAGTCGACTTCGCCCTCTGAATATTTCAGTGCTTAAAACAAATACAAATAAAACATTCTAAAATTTTTTTGAGCAAAGAACCAAGTAGGAAATACCATTTCAATTTTGGACTAGCGGCGACCCTAGTCAAAATCAACTTTGTCACTTTTTTTCTTCGAGGGTTTATCCAAACGGATTGAAACTTTGCATAAATATTTAAGTGCTTAAAACAAATACAAATAAAACATCCTAAAATTTTTTTGAGCAAAGAACCAAGTAGGAAATACATTTTCAATTTTGAACTAGGGGTGACCCTAGTCAAAATCAATTTTGTCACTTTTTTCTTCGAGGGTTTATCCAAATGAATTGAAACTTTGCATAAATATTTCAGTGCTTAAAACAAATACAAATAAAACATCCTACTTTTATTAACTTTTAATTTGAAAAATTCGTAAGAAAGGAAAGTTTTTTGCTTTTTCTGAAGAAATGGCTGTTCCTACCTTGCCCAAAAACAATACAGCTCTTCTATAGAGCAGCACGGATCAAATGTAAAAAACTAGAAGTCTCTACAATGTCTCGTTATTGAGATTTCTTGCTGATTAACTTGCTTGATTGCTTGCTTGCTTGCTTGTTTGCTTACAGAAAGCGTATTTTGCGATTTTCTCAGCAATGCCACAACCAATTTGAAATCTGTTTTTTGAAAATGATGTAAAATTTCAGGCACAAACTTTTCTTCTGTGACCTCTTACTAATTTTTGCTTTGTTTTTTCACAAAATGCGAAAAACTGATTTTTTAATCTGAACAAAACCAATAGATTCACACGTGAAAACGGTGTGAATATAAAAAAACTTCTCTCGTTACTGTAAATTGCTAATTTTTCAATCTCTTTTCATCAAATTAAATTCTCATTCGATATATTTAGGGATGTAAAAAGAAAAAGCAATCCCTTTATAATATCCTCTTTGTGCGTTACGATCAAAGAAATTTCTGAACAATAAAGCTTAATTTTTTTATTATATTACTGCTTTTCATCATTTTATCCAATACCTTTTCTTTGTTTCAATAATTGTGGCTGAGGTTTTGAAATTTATTAAAAGAAAAATCAGGAAGCACAATCTAATTGAAAAGCGAAGATAGATAAAGAGCAAAAATTTTCTTGAAAATTCGATATTTGGTTGTTTGCAACACTATTGATATTTCATAAGAAATGTTTATAACAAAATCATCCTAAATCTTGTTTAAACTTTCATCGTCCTTCACCATCCGAAGCGGTGAAATGGCATCAGTGGCTTACATGGTAGAGCGTAGGCCTTCCGTGCCAAAGGTCCTGGGTTTAATCCCAGGCCATGTCTAATTTTTAAAGCTCTATTTCCATTTTCACCGTTTTAGTTACGAATCTCGGTTTGTATGTTGGGTGTAGTATTGATGTCTTTTGCATAGCATGTGCCTCCATTTCTAAGTATTCAAGGATATACTAGCATCTGGATGACTTGCGCACATGAATTGTGACTAAGTACATTGCAGGGTACATCAGGTCTTATGACGAACTCGTGTCTTTGAAATGTACAGAGCTTGCAAGTAATTTGGATTCGACTATGAACTTTTTATTCTTTACAAATTGAATCGCAGTGCCTCCAAGTGAAAAGGCTGGGCCCTTCACACATTAATATTCATCGTCCTAGAAAAGTTTACTGATACGGAAATTATTCTGTTGAGAATATCAAAATCCACATTCTTTAGCTTTCTAAAATCAACATTTTGTCTTTTATAATTGATTAAAAATAAAAAATACTTTTCCATTACAGTAAACCATAAACCCATTCATTGTGATGAAACAATATCAACAATATCAACACAACAACCTATACCTGGATCAGATATCTCATATTCCATAAGACATGTAGAAGAATCATGGCATCATTTAATTAAATCTGATGATAATAAGAAACTGAAAGAAATTGCTGTCTGTAACTTTGACTTCCTTCTTGCCGCTGTAAGTTTAATTTATTATCATTTTTCCACAAGAATAAGTTTCTCTTTATTTTTCTATTATATGCGGAGCTAAAACTTAATTAGTTCTGAAAAGGGAGCACAAAAAAAAAGAAGATGTGACTTTTGTACATGTGAAACTTTCCATTCAGATACATAGAATGTGTCATTCTCACTCAACAATCTCATTCTTTTCGTTTAACTTTTATTGCAGGTTCAAACAGTATCAATTAGCTATTTACGATGTTTAATTGAGCATGTACGATGCTATATATTGGATAGAGACATTGAACTTGTTTACTATACAATTAGAAAAGCGAGCGATGTTTTAACACGTGATCCAATGCAGCTTGGTGCACAGGTATGATAATGGAAAATTTTTATTATGTCTGCTGAAATGGAAAGAAATGGAAGAAAAATACTTTCTTAAACTAATTGAAATTTTTTCTTGAGATTGCTACTGAAGCAGAGTGTAGTGTTCAAGACAGAGCTCGAAGTCGACTCGAATCGACTCGGGTTTTTTCGAGTAAACTCAACTTTTCTCGAGTCAACTTAATTTTTTTCGAGTCGGCTCGAGTCGACTCGATCCCAATCGACTTCGAGCTATGGTTTAAGAAGAGCAAAAAATACTATAAAAATTCTTGAAGCAAAGTTTTTCCATTTATATTGCAAGTATGCTTCTTACATCTTACAAACCCATTGAAATTGTTTTAAGAATTTTCCTCAGAAATAATCAATTTTCTCTCAAGCACATCTAATTACCGAAAACACAGAGAGAACTCTTTATTTAATAAGTTACTACTCAAGTTTTCATAAGATATATATAAATATATTTTTAGAAAATTCAATTTCCTAAATATTAATTTAAGGAAATTAATCTAGTTCCACACCCGAATAATTTTGAATTATTCTCGAATGTTCCCTCGTTAATTAATTTCAATATAACAACCAACTAAGCTCTTTATGAATTCAAAACTAAGCCCACATAATTCATTTAACACAACAATTGTTACACTGAGTATTTATGCTTATTGTCTTCATGATGATGCTCATTATAATTCATTCATTTCATTATATTCACTTATGTGCACGTTTATTTTCATGAGGCAATGAGTAAAATTATTATGGAAATTGTAGCTGGTGGCAAATTATTTCATCTCGTTTACTTTTATCTCATTTTCTACTGCCATCATTGTGCTCTTTGCTTTGTTGTTGTCACTTAAGCAAACATCCGTGGCTACAACAACAGCACTTACGATATACTTATATACAAAATGAATAATGTACACAAGTATAAGCTCCTGGAAATTCCACATGTTTGTGACTTCTTCCTCTTTTTCTTCGTTTTACTTCATACTATATTCATCCTCATAGTCATTTGTAAAGTCGACTGTCATGTAATGAAAATTTATTGCTTTAGTTTCACGGATACTGCAGAAGGAAGTATATACATAATTTACTTGTTGTATACTTTTTGGCATAATTTTTCTTCACTATAAATAGACGGATAGACACACAGGCTGCGGAAGCTGAATAAGCATTATCAACATCATGGTGCTATATCGCATGTAATAAAAAGCAATATCATCTTTAACGAAAACAAGTTAATAAGTCACAAACAAGTTTATTATTGATGATGATGTGCTTTATACCGTGATTAATCCATGAGGATGTTAAAGAAGTGTTTGATAAACAGGACAAATTGAAAAAAAAATTAACTCCTCTGCATAAAAAAATCATTCAGGAGCAAAATTTGAGATTCAAAACCGTTGCGACTCAAGAATATCAGATATTTTTCTAGATAAAGAAGTAAAAAAATACATTTTTATAATGTTTGAAATATGTCACATGTCAATTGTTTTATGTGGCATGTCATAATAGCATTGCCATATCCGATGTTCATAAATGCAAATGGCAAGAACATTACAACCTCTTCAGGAAGCATTTCTGAATTATAATGAGGTTGAAATGATGCGAAAATCGTTTGAGTCAATGTAATCAAATACACATTTGGCATAATAAATTGAACTTGAATTTTGGTTGTCTTAAAGAGAACAGGGTCGAATACTACTTGGGGCAAAAATACGGGTAATTTTTAGATATGCCAAAGCGCATTTCCTTGAAGATTTATTTATGTCTACTTTCTTTTGTGCTTGCGATAGACAAAGAAAACAATTCTGATTTTTATAGGTACTCAAAATTTGAAAAAGAAGTATGGAAAAACAATATGCTTTAGCAAGTATGTGGGAAGAATAAAGGGAAAATTTTAATCAAAAAAAAAATGACAAAAGAATAAAAAACTTCAATGAAATGATAAAGTTGTTCATCTTCATGAAAATGTCATCATATTTTGGAAGTACCTTCACTCGCATCGCATAAATGATAACAAAGCTCAAAACGTAGAAAATAAAGGAAGGATAACAAAAGGGATATGGAAAATAGCAAAAGAAGATAAGAAGACAGATGTGAAATATAATCAGAATATCCACACGTCAAAGTATGCTTAAAGTAAGAATGACAAGCACTGGATGAGATTTAAAAATGAGATGTTATTGTTAGTTTATTGTTTTTTTTTTCATTTTCTAAAATACTTCACGGGTTAAACTTTTATGACGTCATATTGTCTTATTGATTTTTAATTTCAACCCTCATCTTTATCGACAATGCCTATCATTCCATCCATTTCAACGTAACATAAACATCATAAAAACATATACTTTGAAGCATGCACATTATGTATGTACGAGACATGATTCAATCATAAGACATCCTGGTGTGCCCCATAAAGTGATGTTATTCGTTCATACTGTGAATTAGGAAAATGCTTTCATTTTAGAATTTCAATTTTTAATCAATTTTATTTTCCGAGTAATATTTATACGGATCTGAGTTGAATTTTAAGATCCAATTAGAATTTATTTATTAAAATTTTTTGAAAGGGGTCTATCAATAATTTATCGGTAGATTTAATTAAATATTAAATGGCTTCTGACACTTGAAATGCCTCATGACACTTGTCACTAAAATTTTCAATTTAAACGTCAAAAAATGGACATTTCAGATTTGAGTGATTCAATTAACTTTTGAGAATTTTCCTGACCTATCATGCAAAAGTAATGAACCATAAAAAACTACTCTACAATTACCATAAAGTAGTCGCTTTCTCTAGCGTGAGTAAGGTATAAATAAAACATAAAAACCTTTCTGAATATAGTAATAAAAGGAAACAATAAGTAATTTATTCTCAGATATAAAGCTGATTTTATTGTCTGATCCTTATGACTGCCTAATAAATTCCTTGCCTTTTGTTACAATTTATAACAAAAATGGCTATCTATATGATTTTTACTTCCATTTCTTTCACGCTTTTATTTGTGTACCCATTGACTTGAATAATTTACGCAATATTTTATTGTTGTCTTTTTTTCCCCATTCTTCCATATATAAATATAAAAATATTCTATAGATCATATCTTGGTTGCGAACTGTCTCAGCATATGAAGGTGAAAACTCCCTTTTGGGTATAACAGTGCGTTCGGCAATCGCATGGTGTGACGGATACACCGTTCCTTTGGTAAATAACATTTTTTTTTTCTATTTATAAGCATACACAAATGAAATCATCAGATTTGCCAACATAACAATCATATTTGGCACCAATTTTAATACTTTTAAACATAATGAAACATAATTAAATTATTTATTCCACTAATTCTCTTTAATAGCTCGTACCGTTAACTGGCTGGTTGCCAGTGCCATTGCCTTCACAAATACGATGTATGACTGTTCCCGGAGGTGCAATTACTCAATTTGAAGTGTCACCATGTAAGCAGTATCTCATACTAGCAAAGAAAGCTGGTGATCCACAATTGTGGCACATAATGAGCAATACATTAGTTGGAACATTTAAAGGCAAGTATTTGACTTAATAATCATCATTATTTTTCACTTAATAGAAGCTGACAGAAGCTGTAAATTTGCATTTTAAAATGTTCTCTCTGAATTATTTATGTTACACTTTAGTAGCTTTTCGATTTCACTTGTGAATACTTCCTGTCTTATCTTATCTCTGTCGCCGTGATATTTTTATTCTGGTGAAATACGAACGCAACTCAGAGTTGTTTTTGCAGTCAAAAAAATTTTCAGAACAATTTATAATAATATACTAGGTAAAACAGCATTTCCAAGTTTATTAGCATCTCTGAGATAAGCAAAGATCAAAATGATAAAAAAAAAGAAATTGGCCCGCAAGTTCAATAAAGCTGTTTTGGTTCCTTTGCTTTCCATTTATCTCTTTTAGCTATATTGTGGAATACAAAACGATATTCACCGAATCCAATTGAAATTAGCATTTTTTGAGTATATGTAGTTGAATTTGGAATCGTAAAAAGAGACGAATTGCTACCCTGATTGCTACCGTAAAGGAATAAAAATTTATATATGTGCCTTTATTGTTTTGCTCTCTAACTTTTGGGTTTATTTCTCACATTTTATTGGATTGTTCAAATAGCTGGGAATATCTACAAATGAATGTATGGGAAGGGATACGCTTACAACAATTTATAAAAATCGGAAAAATAAATATTTGTGCTACATCAGCGTGATTTTTTAAGCAATTTATGTTGGCATATGCTACATATTGTTAAGTTGCGATTTATTGTGGGAAAATATGTAAAACAATGAAAAAGACTTGAAGCTTAAATGGTCTGAATCTTTAATATTCGATGAATTTTTCTAGATTAAGGATAATTTTTTGATGAGATACTGCCTGAAGCATTTATTAATTTGAAGCTGATTTCGACCCAAAAATACAAAGGAAAAGTTTTTGTAGCCACCAAAAGTCTTCAAAGTTTGTGTCAAAATGAGAACCTTAATGTTTATAAATAAACACAATAATGTTTAATGACAAAGACTAAAGCACAAAACAGTAAAAATATGCAAAGAAGTAAATTTTTTTAAACAATTTCGTTTTTGTGAAAATATTTTAGAATGAAAAAGTTTGCTCTTCGACTCATTTTCATTGTATTTTAAGATCCACTGATGACCCATAGAAAAGCATGAAGTCATTACAACAAAAAAAAACCAAAATATTTTTTTTTTAAATTGAATAAGAGTCACCTAGACATCGTTGCTGTTGTCGACATTGAGCTCTTCTATTAATTTATTTTTTTTTCTAACCACCACTTTACCAACAACGGCAACAAAATTAAATAAGGAGAAACTTTAGCATTCTATTCATAGAACGAAAATTGTATTTGTTGTTGTCATTTAACAAAAGTGACTCGTTTCCCATGACTATAATCGTATTTGAGATGAAAAAGATATGATCAAAATTTGTGTAAGCGATACAAGCAGTAAGTGGAGAGAAAAATGTGTCTTCATCTACATAATTTGGAGTAGAAAAATTCATATTTATAAAAACTTTAACTATAGTCTCATTATAAAACTGTTCGCTTTACACTACATATTAAACGCGAGACGGGTAAAAAATTCTCTTAAAAGCTTAAAAACTTTATCGTTTAAAATTTTTTTTCATGTTGGTTTCTGACTCATCTGCCACACTTTGCACAAGCATTTTGCACCGTATTTCATTTTATGTATGCAAAGGCATTTAACCCCGTTTTAGGGACTTAAAAATTATTATGCCAATGACATTCTTATTTTAGGATAATCTACATTTAACACATTTGTAAGCTTTTCTGGGATTTAAGCGATCGCGGTTTTGTTTTGTTATCCAAAAACCATCCTAAAGTAAAAGAAGAATCTAGAAGAACAAGATTAATGACCTCATACTTTCCCGAATGACACAAGTCGGTTAATCGAACAGAAATCCAGTGCATAGTCGGCATGACTCTGGCATGGTGCTGGCTTCAATTTAAATCCAGCACTATGCCAGATTCACACTAGTTTGAAGCTAGATTTCTGATTGATTAACCAATTTGTGCCATTCGGATATACAAACGAATAAAACTTTAAAGATCATGCAATTATGCTTGTTTTTTAAATTCAGTGATGATAATTATTCTTGCTTCTTTCGTGCTCCACTCCGAAAGCCCTGGTTTTTTGTAAAAGAAATTGAATACAAAATTAGTTTTAAAGTAAGTTGAATGGACGAGAGTTATATAAATAAAATAAAAAGGAAGAAGAAACTTTTTACAATGGAAAACGGTTTTTGATGAGGATTGGATTAACTTACTGTTGACGGTAGAGTTTTTCTCTCTTTTTTTCTTCTTTTTCTGCTTTCAATGGATGTACACAGAGCAAAAAAGTTTTTTCATCAACATAATAGAAAGAAATCATAAACTTCATTCATTTCCGTCGCACTCCATGAATCTCTTTTTCTATTCATAATGTGTCCAAGAAAAAATTTTTTGTTGTCGCAAAAAAACATTACTTGACTGAAATGTTTCTTGTTATTTCATCGTTATCTGCTTTAAAACATAGTGTTGAATTAATTGTCATTAGTCAATTAATATTTTATTAACTCAAGAACAAGAACCTTCTTGAATTTAACAAAGTTACCGGACAGTATGTCGTCAATAAATGCAATTAAGTGCAATTAAAATGAAAAAAAAATTGAAACTTGGAATCTTAAAAAAAATTACCACTTCTGGCTCATTTTAAGGCGAAGAACTTTTCTTCTCAATTATTATAACGTCTGAAAATCGGTGAAAGTTTAAAAAACTAAGATTTAAGCAAAAGGAAATCTATAATTAATGAAATGGCAAAACCTCATTTTACCAAGCACAAAAGAGTCAATTTATGTGACTGACATTTTTAATCCTTCTCATTTTGTTTAGATGTTCAAGTTCATTTCAAAAGCTTTTTGACCATCTGATGTTCTTTGATAATATTTTATCCAGAAATCATATTCTGTCATATCCTTTATCAAATTTGAATGAAAATTATATCTATAACAAATTTATATCCTGCTAAAATTATTATCCTCATATGCTTTGATCATAGACAAATGAATATTCTTAAAATTATATATTTCCAGTTGTTATAAAGAAGAAAAATATATTACAACGATTATAAAGATTATAAACCTAATAACATTTGCCTGTTAACCTTCATTTCCAAAATGTCCTCGAAAGATTTTCATTTGCTGTCATGAACTCATTAGCAAAATTACGTCTATGTCTCTTCCTATGTGAATAAAGAGGGTTTATCTCTCAACTAAAGCCTAATTTTTGGTTTATTTCATAAATATTTAAAGAACATCCTTTTTCGAGATGCTTGAAAAAATTTGCCCCAAGAGGAAAATAAAAATTTGAGTTGGAATAAATTTTTCCCTATAAATTTATTAACGAGCTTTTAATCTTTGAGCTTTTGAATTATAATTTTTTTTTTTTGATGAAGTATGAATATTTCTGAATAAATTTTTCGTAGATTTTAAGATCCTAAATAAAGTTTAGGGAAAATTATTTTCTTCTTCTCATTAAGACGTGTGCACCGAAATGTAAATGCTTAAAAGATGTATTACAGAATTAAAACTGGATAGCAAAGTTTACAACTTATGACTTGAATTCACTAAGGAATGACTTAAGTAAATTTTCGAAAGTCAAAGTTAACAATCGAAAAGGTTTGTTGACCTTTGATTATCCGCACGACATTTACTGTATTCCCTAAACTCAGTTGAAGAATTATTATCCAAAAACTTTTGGGATGTAAAACTTTATGAATTTTATGGAAGGTTAGGCACATAAATTTAACTTTACCAATATTTTAATGCAAAAGTTTGAAAGTCTAAATGTACGTGAATAAAAGTAAAAATGCTAACTGGTTCCTAAATACGTAGCAACAAAAAAGTAATGCAGACTTTTATAATTTCATTTTTCATGAGAGAACATTTTAAATTATACTTAAATTTTCCCATTTATTTATTCTTATTCTGCTAGACATGTCTACACTCCTTGTAATGTTGATTGTACATGACTAATTAGATTTATGCTTTATACATTCCATGTAAATTTAAAAATGCTAACTCGTTTCATACGGCTTTTATTTATAGGTCACAGTGGAGCAATAACATGTATGATGGTGCCAAAGAACACACATGATTTAGTGACAGGCTCGGAAGACACCAGCGTTATAATTTGGGACATAAAGTCACAGGTTGTAAAGACGCGTTTATGGTAAGAATATAAAATTTGTGTTTTCAATTACAATGGCATGTCAAAAGCTGAATTTTGATTATATTTTCATCATTTCTCTTCATTTATTAAACTGAATGAATCTTTTGACAAATTTTCCTTTGATACTTTGGAAAACAAAAGGATGAAGATGGTATTTTTTTAAGCATATATATGCTTGCTGTTGCTTAGCAAGAAAGTTGTTTTAAATAATTGTTATTCGAAATTTGATACTTAAAAAAAAATCAAGTAAAAGTTCGTGCATTATTAAATTTTTAATCTTTCCTTAATGACTTACTTAGCTTTAAATATTCTGAATCTTTGTCAACTCCACTAAGATATATTACCGATTCACATGTTAGGAATAAACAACAACTACAGCATTCTATGAAATTCCAATCATGATAATGTTCCTTCTTATTTATTTATTTTTTTGTTTTTTGAATATAATGATTTTGTTTTTTGAATATAATGAAAATCTCTTGTGATTTGAAGAGATATATTTTGAAACATATTGTTTGTATTTTATAACAATAACAAACAATAGAGGAATGATAATGATAGTAATGATAGAATGGGAAGGAAGTGTGAGTGAAAAATAAATCTGTAAACAAAGCTGTTAAGCTATACGAATATTATTGCGAGGATCATCAAAAGCAAAAGATGCAAAAAATGTATGTGTGCGTACAGTAGTTGCTGTGCGTGATAAATGATGTGTAGGTAGACTTGCTGGAAAGCACACGGTGCTGTTTTGTGATGATGATTGAGATTCATTCTTTCTTTCTCTCCGTCTATCTCTCATTCACCATCACTTTTTATGTTTGCAGGATAATGTTTTTAATGCGGTTGATATTACCTCTCGTCATGAACATTAAAGTAGAATAACAAGAAGCTTCAATTTTATGCGAAAAAAGAAGAAGAAAAATATTATTCAGGAAAATGATTTTAATTTATCAACAGTAAAATATAATGAGCTCGTGTTTCGAGGCTTTTAAAATGCTATCATTATATTGCGAGATTACAATGCAAAGGAGCTGTTGATTTTCTCTTTATTTCCATTTCTGAAATGAAAATGAGAATGATTAAGATGATAGATATTCTTTGCTTCAGATTTAGTTGCTTAAAATAACTCTTATTTAAATTATTTTTATTGAAAAACTTGTGATGTTGAAAACCAGTATCTGTTTAAGTAATTCAAAATAAGAGATCGCTCATTGACTTTATTATAGCTCGTTTATTTTTATGATTCCTGAATTTGACTAGCTGCTTTTGATGAACTTCCTACTTCTTTCCTTAAATATCAAGAAATGATAATCCTCCAAAGTTTAAAAGCAAAAATTAAATACTTAAATCAGTAAATAAAAATATAGGATTTTTATATATAGAAAAGCTATAATATGGATATTTTTGTTTTTAATTTTAAAGTTGATAGGAAGGATAAAATACTTTGAAACTCTTTGTTCAAATTTTTCTTTAAAAATCACATTGATAATTTAATGAGAGCCATAACGGTGCTAAGCATGGCAATTAATTTTAATTATTTTTGATTTACTTTTGGTGGCGCTTTAATCTTTTAATTTTTCATGATGATTTATTGAGAAATTGAAATCGATGCTTTTAAAACTGATTTTATTAAAATGTCCTTTGTCCTAAATTTTCGAAAATTTATTTGAGAGAAATTAAATTAAATTTTAATTGTTCGATAAATTGTATAAAAACGCATTAAACTAAAAACTGTGTCGTATACCTTAGTATATCTTTAAAAAAAAAAATTGTCGCCTTTAAAATTTCCAAGAACAATAAAATTTATTTATGGCTTAAGTTCTATTCAGCCATCTATAAAAACACCAACCAAAACTTCCCCTCATGCAAAACTCATTAAATAATTCAGGAATCATTTTTGCTTTATTAAATGAATACACCTTTCTCCTTACATTGCATTATTCTTTATTAAATTTTCCAGCTTTTATAATCTATTTGCTTTGTTCATAACTCGAGTTTATCCATAAATCTAGATATTTCATTGCATGCCTGAAATTATATACAATTTTTTCTCTGCTTTGCGCTATACAAATAATAAAAGTCATTAATTGAGCTTTCATGCGATTTTCTGTACGAATTTTTATTCATATGCTTTATGTATTTATGGAAGCAACAAGAAAGGGAAAAAATGACTTTATTGACGAATATAGGGGATGATTTGCCTACGACAAGAGAAGAAAAGTTGTTGGATAAATATAAAAAGTGTGAAGTGAAGTAAATTCTGATTCTTTCCTGTACCTTGATGTTATGTAAATTTTATTAGTATTTCACACGAACGCGAGTTCTGCAAGCAATGAGTGGAGATTGCTTTACGAGCACTTGAAATTTATATACATACAAGACGAAATAATCGTAGAATATACCTTGAATATTTTACATTCCTTCTTTTTCCTGTAAAATCTCTTCAATAGGATGCCAGTGCTGCTTTCTTTTTCTCAAGTTGTCTGTTTTGAGTAAGCAAACAAATATGAATAGTCTTCTTTTTCGTTTAAAATTACTGCTTGGAGATATAACTTCGTTCCGTGTAATCTAAAACAACTTTAACTTTTTGACAAAAATTCTACAAAAAATCAGAAAAGTTAATGTTCGGCTTTAATAATGTAACGGAAAAATATAATTTTTTTTGACCATTTCCACTTAACAAGCTGCTAGAGAAATGCGTCAGTTCAGTTTTGACATCGTCATAAACTTTCCATCTTGTCTTTACATGAAACATTTTCTTACAACTTTTTCATTCTTCTTGCTTTCTTTTTCAGGCTTCACATAGCTGCCGTTATGTGTGTAACAAGTGCCATGAGCAATAGTCTGATTGTAAGTATTTTAATTTGATTAGACATTCTCCTGCTTCCATTCTTTATCTCGTAATCAAATAAAAAATTAATTTATCCTCCCTTTTATAACATTTAATGTTTGATTTTGTTGTTGCAGGTGAGTGGCGGTGAAGATTCAAGCATAATAATATCATCGTACTTGACTGGAAAATCTGTGAGTATGAAATGAGCTTTTTATGATTTTTACGTGCTATTTTTGCGCTTTACCAGATCACTCAGTAGAATCTTTCCATCACCGATTCGTAATTTTACTCTGTTGTTTATTCTCTATGGACTTTAACGGGATTTGTTTATGATTCCCTTTCACAGATAGCTCATAAATGGCGTCATGTATTTCAATTCTGATTTGAAGCAGTATATTCCAAACTTTTTTGAATGGCAATAAGGTTTTAAATCTGATTTGAAGTGATAAATGCATGTCAAATGAAACTAATGTACCGCTGATCTAGTGCTATATGACACTTATTTCAATATAAATCGGATGAACATTTTACTAAAGAAAAGTGTCTGAAAATCGACGTCTATAATATAAAAAAGTTAAAAAAATTAATTCTTTAATATAAGCACGTCATAACTGAATGACTCCCTTACTTAATAATATTTTTATGAAATAACTTTTTCATGCAACAGAATTGCAATCACGTTGAATCCACTTAAAGTTTAAATTGCACGTTGAGACTTATAAAAAGTAACACAAAACGATGAAAATTTGATGCATTAATAGAAGAAGTAAGAGTCATATTGTATTGTACAAAAATAAGTGACTGTATCTAATTTTTCATTAAGGACAAAGTATCCTTTTTCGACTGAGTAAATAAAAGGAAAAGAAAACATTTCATGAAAAAGCGTAAAAGAAGTTGTTTGAAAAGCAAGTGTTGATATTAACACCTCAATTACTTTGAGTTACTTTCAAATTGTAAATAAAGTTTAAGAAACTCGGATGAATCTTTTTGTAAACTTTTTGTTACCCTACGCCAATTTGCTACTTACACCTATTAGACAGTACCAAGTTCCTTTCAACCTTATATTCAAGAATTTACTCCTAAAAAACTCCCTAACTTTACAAAGAATTTGGCAAATAGCTTTCGGGAAAAAAAGTTATTGAATAAACCAATACATACCTTAATATTGAAAAAATGCTCGCTTTACTTACTTTAGACTTATGATGTGAGCATGAGAATATAATAGAAAACTGATGATGTTGCGATATTATCTTTTATTGAGTATTAACCGAAGTTATGTCTCATTCATATACATGCACACACGTAAATTGTGAATGATGATATGAATACAGGTTGCATAAACAAGAAAAAGCTATGAAAAAGGGAAGCTTATCAGCTGTCAATGAAAATAAACAGAGATCAAAAATTCAGCAATAATAATATGCTATCGAGGTTTCTTCACTCTTCACATTTTGACGATTTAGATTCCTCTCTAATAACCAAAAATTTCATTTTTAATGCCAAGATTTTCCACGTATTACGGTAGATGTCATGCGTACCATTGAATGAATGAAAACATTAATCTTTTTACTTAAAGAAATTCAAATGTGACTTTTTATTTAAAATATTCTTTTTTTATTATTATTCTGATGACATCGTTATAATGGACAGTGACAAGACCTGAAAAATTTGCCTATTCACCTGCTGCTATTTAATAAAAACAATGATGATCGTCATCATCATGACTTTGAGGATTTATGCCAGATTTTCAATTCATCATTTTTTCTCTTTTTCATCATTCATATTTTTGTTCACACAATGGATGTTATGGAAATATCAAGTTTTTAAACTTTTATCGTAAACTGATTCAATTAGCTGCATAATTATCAATTTTTTGACAGCAATTTACTTTTAAGAAATAAAAAAATATCAATGATGTAAATGGAAGAAAGAAAATTTGATTACAAATAAATATTGAGTCACAAATAACGACGCACAACTGTCAACAAAAAAATTAAACCCATCATAAACTCAATCTCAGTGCAATTACTTTTTTTATCATTTTATTTAATAAAGACCTTAATCATGCCGGGAAATAAAAGTAATGAAAAATCCCACAGAAAAAAATGATGAAAGACTTTGTTACTAAAAATCCAACCGACATGGGAGCACATCACATTTCAAAATTTATGATGGTTCTCTTTTCTTTATTGGAAGAGGAAGTAAAAACCAGATTTTAAGGTTTATTAATTAAATCATTTAGAAAGTTCATTAAAAAGGTTTCTTATGTATTTAAAATCAATTTTATGTTGAGCACAAAGGGACTTATTTCCCATGAATGAAAGCCTTTCTGGGAATGATTATAAAAAATGAGAGTCAAACTTTTTTTCGTTCAAATTTCGTTAAAAGAGAATGAGAGGAAGTAATATAAGGGGAATATTTTGAGAGAATATTCTCTCATGGGAGAAAGCAATAAAAGCTCGTGGAAATGAATGCATCTGATATGGTTTTATTCTCTTTTAAAATGTAATGAATATAAGTATAACGGCTATGCTGTATATAATGTAAAATAATGTCATTCATAACATATTCCCATGATTGATTGCAATAGTAACGAAAAGAAAAAAATAAGGGACGAACACAGAAAATTCAAACACAAATTTTTAAAGCCATAAAAAAGGATTCAGTCAAAGTTCTTTTTATGGTGTCTATTTATAGAAAACGTGAGGAAGGCTTAAGAAACAAATTTTAGCTACGATTGTGAAAATTCAATAAATACTCTTAAAAAACTTTCGCAGTAATTGCTATGGGGTCGTTCACTTATGACGTCCGAATTTAACGGTCAGTCATTTTTCATAAAAGAACAACGGATTTCCAGGAATTTCTATTGTTCTTTTCTTGCTGACCCCCCCCCCCCCCCCCCCTTGATGTCATAAGTGAACGGCCCCTATTTTGTTCTCAACTGTTCATATTATTATTCATTTCTGTAATTTTGACAACTTTTCATCTCATTTTTTGACCTTTCAATATGGTCCCTTAACATGCGGTTCCAGTCGTGCTGTTGAAAATAATTATTCGAAAATATTCAATTCATTCAGAACAAAATAGGCAAGAAAATTGAATTAAAAGTAATTTTATTTCTTCATGTTCTTTGACTTTTTTTTTCTTTGTTCCTATTCAATATGCAAAATGTGGGAAATCAGAAAATCTCATTTCCACACTTGACTTCAAATTAATTGAAATTGAGCGACAAGTCGCGAATAAAGTAAAAGAATGAATCAGCAATTGAATAAATTTTTCGCTGATGATGGAAAAATGGCTGCGAGCATCAATTACATTTTTAATTTCCCTCGTTCTTTCTTCCTTTTCTTTCCTATGTCCATGCGACAATATTTAAATCCATGACATAACAGGTAATGAAAATTGATCATCATCGTGGACCAGTTGTTTATGTAGCAATCAGTTCAACGAGTGAAGTTTTGGTATCAGCAAGTCATGATGCAACTATTTGTTTATGGTCATTGGAAACATATGAGCTTTTGAATTTAATGCAATTTAACAGTCCAGTTCTCAATTTTCGCTTATCACCTGATTCTGTAAGTATTGCAAAAAAGACCAATTTATATGTCAATTCCAATAATTTTGCGGATTTTTTTTTCTTCCTAATATGTTTTCCTTTTGAATTATTTAATGGCATGCTGCTTTCATTTGCAGGTTTTCTTGCTTGCTCACTGTGAAGATAATGGTCTTTATTTACGAACTCTCGCAACTGGAACTGAGTTACATCAGTTAAAAGGGCACAAATCAAAGGTAAATATACAAATAAAGAATTCTCATACTTCCTTGAATTTTTAAAGTATGAAGTGGTTTAATCTGATGAGTGACAATTGAAATCACCAACAATCATATAATTTATTTTTTAAGAGAAGTGCCAAAAACGACACTAAAAATAGAAATCACGCAAAATTAATCAACAAAAAACAGACGTTACTTTTTGTTTTCTCGTCTAAAGCTTTCCCACATCAAAACAAAAACAATCTAGAATTAAAGCAGATTAATGGATTTATGCGAATGCTTACTTGCTTTCTCTTTTATCCTTAATTGAAAATCTCTTAAATCTATTAATTGCTTTGTTAAGAAATTTGTTAAGAAATTTAAGAGGAAAAACTTTGTTGTAAAGAGATTTTTAATTAACTTATTTAATTTGTTAAGCACTATAGCTCTTATAGTCATTAGCGCTTAATTAAGTGATTATTAAATTCTTTGTAAGTTTGTTAAGAACCGCAGTGGACGCTCGATAAAAGTGTCTATTGAATTTCTCATTCTTTATTTTTCTATAAATAAATCGAATAAATCCAACTTTTATTAAAAATTTCTATTTAAATTACGGTCATTTAAACTGAATGAAGATTACAAAGAAGTCATATTGACGTGGCTGTTTAGGAAAAGTTATTTATAAAACTCGCAAGTGTCTTCAGTTTTTAATTAAGTTAAAGTTTAAGTGTGAGAGTTTAACACATTTTCTTAAATAAATCTTTTCTTCAACTCTTATACTCGCTCTTATAAGGGGTCATTCACATATGACGTCCATCAAAAAACCTGTTTTTAAACCCCCCTCCACCCCTCTGTCAAAAAAATTCTGTAGAAAAAAATTTCCATTGTTTGAACTGTCACAAAATCCTAGACCACCCTCCCCCCCCCCCCCCACCCCCTAAATGTCGGACGTCATAAGTGAACGGCCCCTAAGGAGCTTTGAGACGTCTTGAGATCTATCATTAAAACTGAAATTGTAGCTATCAAAAATCACACTAACCGAAAATATTCAATAAGTTCCAGAATAAATGCAAAACAAACTAGTGTATCGGGTAGAAACCCAATGCGGATATATTCACACCGTACCATCAAAAGTTTTATGGATAGACCAAGATTTGCTCAGCATAAGTTTGAAGGGTGGGCGTGAAGTACGGCCGAGACCCATATCGATATAGTTCAAAAGTTTTACCTAATTTATGTCATAATTATGTCAGCAACAAAAACACTTAGTTTGAAGTTTGTCACCCTCGGGAACACTATGAACCAGTATAGCTGATTTTGGTCCAAATCTCGGCCATACTTAACACTTATTTGAACCACATTTTCTTGTAAATGATAAAATATTATTAAAAAGTAATTAATCCCGAATTATATCGCTATTTTATCAAGTGTTTTAAGATAAAGAATTTGTTTTTTGGTTTCCACAGTGAAGAGTATGAACAAAATTCAGATGGGGTAGTCGAAATTTTAGATTTTGATTTTTTTAAAGCTATGCATTACAAAAAGTAATATAGGTATGTGATTTATGTCAGAATTATGTCAATTCAAATAAAACATCCAAAAAATTTTGACCAAAGTACACCATTGAAAATCAATTTTCAATTTTGGACTAGCGGCGACCATAGTCAAAATCAATTTTGTCACTTTTTTCTTTGAGGGTTTATCGAAATGGATTGAAACTTTGCATAAATATTCAAGTGCTTAAAACAAATGCAAATAAAACGTTCTAAAATTTTTTTGAGCAAAGAACCAAGAAGGAAATACATTTTCAATTTGGACTAGGGGCGACCCTAGTCAAAATCAATTTTGTCACTTGTTTCTTCGAGGGTTTATCCAAATGGATTGAAACTTTGCATAAATATTCAAGTGCTTAAAACAAATGCAAATAAAACATCCTAAAATTTTTTTGAGCAAAGAACCAAGTAGGAAATACATTTTTAATTTTGGACTAGGGACGACCTTAGTCAAAATCAATTTTGCCACTTTTATCTTCGAGGGTTTAACCAAATGGATTGAAACTTTGCATAAATATTCTAGTGCTTAAAACAAATGCAAATAAAACGTTCTAAAATTTTTTTGAGCAAAGAACCAAGAAGGAAATACATTTTCAATTTGGACTAGGGGCGACCCTAGTCAAAATCAATTTTGTCACTTGTTTCTTCGAGGGTTTATTCAAATGGATTGAAACTTTGCATAAATATTCAAGTGCTTAAAACAAATGCAAATAAAACATCCTAAAATTTTTTTGAGCAAAGAACCAAGTAGGAAATACATTTTCAATTTGGACTAGTGGCGATCCTAATCAAAATCAATTTTGTCACTTTTTTCTTCGAGGGTTTATCCGAATGGATTGAAACTTTGCATAAATATTCTAGTGCTTAAAACAAATACAAATAAAACATCCTAAAACTTTTTTGAGCAAAGAACCAAGTAGGATATACATTTTCAATTTGGACTAGTGGCGATCCTAATCAAAATCAATTTTGTCACTTGTTTCTTCGAGGGTTTATTCAAATGGATTGAAACTTTGCATAAATATTCAAGTGCTTAAAACAAATGCAAATAAAACATCCTAAAATTTTTTTGAGCAAAGAACCAAGTAGGAAATACATTTTCAATTTGGACTAGTGGCGATCCTAATCAAAATCAATTTTGTCACTTTTTTCTTCGAGGGTTTATCCGAATGGATTGAAACTTTGCATAAATATTCTAGTGCTTAAAACAAATACAAATAAAACATCCTAAAACTTTTTTGAGCAAAGAACCAAGTAAGAAATACATTTTCAATTTTGGACTAGTGGCGATCCTAATCAGAATCAATTTTGTCACTTTTTTCTTCGAGGGTTTATCCGAATGGATTGAAACTTTGCATAAATATTCAAGTGCTTAAAACAAATACAAATAAAACATTCTAAATTTTTTTTTGATCAAAGAACCAAGTAGGAAATAAATTTTCAATTTTGGACTTGGGGCGAACCTAGTCAAAATCAATTTGTCACTTTTTTCTTCGAGGGTTTATCCAAATGGATTGAAACTTTGCATAAATATTCTAGTGCTTAAAACAAATACAAATAAAACATTCTTAAACTTTTTTGAGCAAAGAACCAAGCAGGAAATACATTTTCAATTTTGGACTAGGGGCGACCCTATTCAAAATCAATTTTGTCACTTTTTTCTTCGAGGGTTTATCCGAATGGATTGAAACTTTGCATAAATATTCAAATGCTTAAAATAAATACAAACAAAACATTTAATAATTTTTTTGAGCAAAGAACCAAGTAGGAAATACATTTTCAATTTTGGACTAGGGGCGACCCTAGTCAAAATCATTTTTGTCACTTTTTTCTTCGAGGGTTTATACAAATGGATTAAAACTTTGCATAAATATTCTATCGTTTAAAACAAATACGAATAAAACATTCTAAAATTTTTAGAGCAAAGATCCAAGAAGGAAATACATTTTCAATTTTGGACTATGGGCGACCCTAGTCAAAATCACTTTTGTCACTTTTTTCTTCGAGGGTTTATCTAAACGGATTGAAACTTTGCATAAATATTCAAGTGTTTAAAACAAATACAAATAAAACATCTTAAAATTTTTCGAGCAAAGAACCAAGAAGGATATACATTTTCAATTTTCGACTAGGGGCGATCCTAGTCAAAATCAATTTTGTCACTTTTTTCTTCGAGGGTTTATCCAAATGGATTGAAACTTTGCATAAATATTTTAATGCTTAAAACAAATACAAAAACAACATCTTAAAATTTTTTTGAGCAAAGAACCAAGTAGGAAATTCAATTTCAATTTTGGACTAGGGGCGACCCTATTCAAAATCAATTTTGTCACTTTTTTCTTCGAGGGTTTATCCAAATAGATTGAAGCTTTGCATAAATATTTAAGTGCTTAAAACAAATACAAATAAAACATCCTAAAATTTTTTTGAGCAAAGAACCAAGTAGGAAATACATTTTCAATTTTGGACTAGGGGCGAACCTAGTCAAAATCAATTTTGTCACTTTTTTCTTCGAGGGTTTATCCAAATTTTAAGCACTAACTGATTTTTCAATCTGAACAAAACCAATAGATTCGCACGAGAAAACGGTGTGAATATTACAATAAATCATTTCATTTTCAATTGAATTGCACTTGAAAATCCACTTAATTGACTTAACTCTGTTGAAAAGACCACAAGAATTGAGGATAAATTGTTTTTATTCACAGGTTTTAGCATTTAGCATTGCAGCCGACAGTCAGCGTGCGATAGTCGGTTGTGAGGATGCCAAAGCCTTAATATTCGATATGTGTTCGGGCAAAATTATTCGGACAATGCCACCAAATCCTGGCGCTGTCTCAGCGGTGTTTGTTATGGAGAAGGATGATTATTTAATAACAGCAGGTGGAAATAAAATAACGTTCTATTCATTCCGCAATGAAGATTCGATTGTTAACTACTATCCAAAGAAAAAGGAGAAACGGAAACATAGAAAGCAACTGGTGTCGACGAATCGACTCAATTTAAACTCTAATAATCATCCAATTTGTTGTTTTGATATTTCTCGTGACTCAACAATGGCTGCAGTTGCCATTAAACATGGAATTCAAATCTGGCATTTGTTAAACACACCGGAATTGACAAACTCATTCGAAGCACATTCGGCTTCAATCACATGCATCGCATTTGCACCAAATTGTGAACATTTGGTGTCAGCTTCAGATGACAGGACCGCAATGGTATGGGGACTTCAATTTGGAATAATTCAAACTACTTTTAAAGCACACAATGCTGCGATAACATGTCTAGTTGTAATGATGGACTCAATTAGAGTTATAACATCAGATCGCGAGGGCATTTCCCATGTGTGGTTAGCTGACTCTGGAACAATATTGCAGACTGTTCAAGGACCACACAAATATTTGGCTGTTACAAATAACATGAAATTTGCAGTGAGTATGATAAAGTTTTTTTTCGGGATTGTTTTGATGTTTGCATAAAATATTTTGATGTGGATAGATAGCAATTTGTTTATTCTCCCAAGAGTGCTTAAAATCAGAAGCAATTAATAAACATACAAATATTAATTTCAGATGAGCTCAAATGGCGACAATTCCTTAAGGATATGGTCACTAACTCGCGAAGATGAGAAATATCACGTATCGCATACTGATGAAATCACATGTTTTGTCATAACTGCTGATTCACTCCATGTAATAACAGGTTCGCGTGATATGTCACTCAAGGTGTGGCAATCAACAGGAGGAAAATTGGCACAGGTAATGAAATAAAAAATAAAGATAATGAAATGTGTTTTATGGCTTGTAAACACAGCATAAGCCTTCCATAAATCATTCAATATTACATCAAAAATAGTGCAATTATAGATTAATATTAAATTAACAGGTGCTCGTTGGACATTCGGATGCTGTTCTCACTGTTGCTGTGTCTGTTACGAATAAAAGTCATGTGATATCAGGATCAAAGGATTGCAATTTAATCTTATGGGATTTACACACTGGCGAGGAAATACACACATTAGCTGGGCACTTAGGACCTGTCACATGCGTCAAAGTATCTGCTGATGGTGAGAAACAATGAAATAAAGAAATTATCTTTATGTTCGTTTATTGCTTTTTTTGTCATTATTTTTTCGTTTCCATTAAAGCTTTTTCATTTTTGTTGTAACACGAAAAGTCCATTCAACGGATAATAGAAATGATATCATATATACAAAGATTAATCTTCTTACACAGACCTACATAAATGCTAAGGGGAAAATATTTTTATTGTTTTGTGGCTAGAGCTTTCAATTGAATTCTTTATTGATTCAAACATTCGGATATTTCAAATACTTAAATTTTAATTAAGGCAATCTGTATCATGGATGATACAGTATTAAAATTGACATCTTTTTGAAAGCTTAAGGTTTTATCATTATATTTTCATACTAAATGATAAAAATGAAATAAAGTTCATTTCACAACACTCGACATAATATTGTGAAAACATTTCCTAAAGATAAAGAACCGCCATTTGCGGTTTCATAACATAACAAAAAAAAACCTTTCTTTTTACCATCAACATACATGTATGTTCATACAAAAATGAAATAAAAAAGCTCATCAACAACCATTTTTCTCTTTTATTTTATTTTATATGAATTAAACAGGCACAACGGCAGTATCAGGTAGTGATGATAAAACGATAATTGTATGGGAAACAGCAAGAGGTCTAGCATTAACATCCCTTCAACTTCATGTTCAATTCACACGTTTTGACATATCTCTCGAGTGCTCGAGAATTTTAGTTCATTTAACCGACAATCCATCATTTCCGATTATTTGTTTACATAATTCACCAGCACAATATATTAAATTGCCAACATATTCGGCTCCAGCACGTGATGTTGAGGGTAAGACTGTTGCTTTTTCACTTAAATAATAAATAATTTCATTCCATTTAACGAAACAAAAATAAAATAGATTTACGACCAGCAGCTGCAAAACGACCAGCTAGACGATTATTGAAGAAGGAACTATCATTAGATACTTACTCATGGCAAAAGAAATATGCCCATTTAACATCATCTGTAATGATGGCTCAAGTAGATGAGAGGCTTAAAAGGCGATTTAGTGTGTCAACCAGCATGGAAGAAATATCCAAGATTGCAGAAATGAAGACTATTGGATCACAGGCAAACATTGGAAATCCGGAACAGGCGGCATTAGCACAATCTCAACATTTTGATCAGCTTGAAGCATTATGGAATAAGAGGTCTCCACCACGACGACGAATGAATCAGGTAAAGTAGGATATTATCTTTAGTCAAAATCAATTAATGGGACACAATTTAAAGAGGAATAAGAATTTGAAAATCAAGTCGAATTATCCCTAACTTAAACAGAAATTCATAACTTTTTTCCCATCTTTTATCTGTCAGTCGTTATCTCGACAATCTTCTCTTGCTGAGGACCGTATCAACTCATCAGACGAAGACGAATTTTTAGAAGAGCGTTCAGGTACGTGCTCCAATTACATCAATAACACTAGTGATACTCAACCTAATATTCATTCACGAGCATGTAACAAAGACACATGTTTTATAAAACATCATCAACACAGCACATCATCCTTAATGTCACTTGAAAATAACAATAGTAATAACAATAATCAACCCGACTTATTAAAGGACGTTCTTGCACATTCATCTCATATGAAAACATCCCATACTGAGAATGATTTGAAACACTTAACAATTAAATCAGCATCGTTTGATGTAACAAAAAGTGAAAGCTTTAGTAGTTTACGTAGTTGTAGTCAAAAGAGAAACTTTAAATTTCCATCCGGTTCCATTAACCTTACAAAAAGTAGCATCAACTATAATGATGTAAATAGAATTAGATTTAAAAGAAAACGTAATCCTCTTGCACGATCATGTATATCACAATAAATTCTAAAACTTTAGTTGATTTACAATGTTAGAAAATTTTATGGATAGACCAAGCAACAAAAAGAGAGAGTTTAATTAAATATGACATGATTCGGAATCATTGATTCCATTATCTGTATCTGACCGTGTTTTAGGAAAATGTAGGAAAGTGTCTGATTTTTCAAAGTTGATTTAATTTAATATTTCATAATTTTTTTTTAACATCAACTTTGTTTACAGGTCATGTCTAAGCACAAATTAAGGGGACTAAGGGGACCAATTTCTTTCACTTTGTTTTTTTGTAGATTGTTTTCAATTAATTCTTAGTTTACTAATGTTTTTCAAAATATAAGGTTTTAAGGCCATCGGTTGCATATTTATAGCTTATAATGTACCTAAGACACTTAAAATTTCGAACTTAGATTAGTATATGCTACCTTTCTAATAGTTACTTTCTAGCAGAGCTCGAAGTTCATAGGGCTCGAGTCGATTCGAGTTGACTCGACTCAACTTTTCTCGAGTCAACCTCATTTTTTCGGAGTCAACTTCTAGTCGACTTCGTGTCAACTCGTTAATTTTTTTTTGTATGAAGAAGTTGACTTCGAAAAAAATGAAGTCGCACGAGAAAAGTTGAGTCAACTCAAAAAAATCCGAGTCTTAGAGCTCTGCTTTCTAGTTTACTACATTACTCAACTTCTGATTAGAATTCTATGTCTATGTGGTAATTAATATCTGACACTGTAGCTTTAAAAGTTAAGTTTAAGCAATTTTTTGGTTTCTCTGTTTTGAAAAATTAAAATGTCATCAAATTTTCTGTTTGAACAGTTCTGACAATTTGGAACAGTTCAAACACGACTACTGACTACGAATTTTCATTTATTGTTGAATCTAATTTTGGATGTATATGTTTCAAAATATCTGACCATTTACGATAGCTCTCTGAAATTATATCAGAAAAAAAACATGAACGAGATTAAAATAATTAAGTTGATGATTCTCAATGTTTGTATTCACAACTTTATACTTAATTTAATATTCCTTCAAAAATCAGAATATTTACAATTTATTTATTTTATACGACAGTGGTGGTTTCGGTTGTTGAAATTGATTTAATCAATAGAAAAATTGTTTTGCACAGCATAAAATTAATATGTATGTTCTTATGAAAACCTTTTTGATTTTACTTAAATTTGAAATAAAATTTTTATAAATTTTCTGCACTGTTGAACAAAAAGTTGAAAACTATTTCCTTGTAGTTAGACTTTATCCTTTATTCTATCCTGTAATTCTATTTTTGAACACAAAAATATGATTTGTTATGTCACAAGTTATAGTAAGAATGTAGAAAGTTTATTAATAAATGTGTAGCCTTAACAATCTATTTAAAAGACCTTTGCTTAGCCTTAGACATATTAAAAATTATATTGAACCCTTTATATGTTATTGTATAGATGTGTTCTTATATTTGTTGTAAAATTGAATGCCAAAATCCAAGTAAAATTTATAGGAAGAGGAAGAGAAATTTTATTTATACAAGAAATATCAATAAATAAACACATGTTATGAATTTTTGATCAAAAATTTTATTTTTTATCGTTTATTTAATAATAAACAAAAAAATAAACTCTCAAAACTTTATTATTCAAAGAAAACTTTTTCTCTTTCTTCCTGCCTTTTTTCATATCTTTAGATTTATTTTAAATAATGTAAGCAGCAAAGAAGCATTTTCATGGTAGAAAGGATACTCATTGGATTTTTTTTATCTATTTTTAAGGTAAGCAAATATTTTCTCGATTAATTTTATGCTCCTTTCATTTCACTTTACATCTCTAACGCATTTTTCATGAGACGAATGTTAAATTGAAAAATTCTGCTACAGGCTATTTTGTTTCCGTCATTTTGGCAGTTGCGATGTTAAAGTCTTTTTAAATAATTAAGCTTTACATGGAAAAAAATCAGGCTTTATTGTGATTAAATTGGAATTCGATATCTTGCAATTATTAAACGATGTTGCTATGAAGATTTGTAAGCTGAGATTTGTAACCTTTAGATAACTTTAAAATTGTTAAGCTGTAAATACAGTCATAGCCAGATCTCAAAGCCGATGAAATTTTGCATGAAGGCGACTCCGTCATTTAAAATTGATGAAAATCTCGAGTCGACTTCGAGCTATGGTATTAGCACTAAAATGTTTAAAATGTAAACTTTCAAAATTTGAGACCAAATATTCTAATTTTACCAATTTCAACGCCAAGCTTCGTAATTTCACCATAATATGTAACTGCGTTTTTAAAAATAATTCTTTAGAGTAATTACTTGTTTTTTCTTCTCATTTGAATCCAAATCAATATACAAAAAACGTTCTTTCCTTTTTTTATAGAGCAAAAAAATATCATCAGAATTTTTCCTATATATTATTGATGAGAGGAAATGAGTCGACTTGAAGGTAAAATAAATCATTGAAATGGAAAATGGATAAGAGATGCAAAGGAATCTTACATCTGACATTGGAAATTCTTCATGATTATTTTTTTTTTTTTTGGAAAGTCACCATCAATTCATCACACTATTCATCCAAACATTCGGCAATTTGAACTTTTCTATTACTCTATTGTGATTAAATATTTGAAAAATTTATTGAGAATGAGATTTAAAATTAGGAAAAGATAAAAATAAAATTAATTTTAAGAGAATTTTTAATGGCGTTTAGATGAAATTGTAGTTTTAAAAATGTGTTGTGTAGATGAAGACGAAAAGAATAGAAAAGTATAAAATTTTAATTTTTGAATTGAATGAATATAAAAAAATTGTAGCGTAAAATTCTGAAAACATTTCGCATATTTTGCATAGTTGCAAAAATCATAATAAGATGATAACTATAACATACAATTTTGTTAATAAAATCAATAAATTAATAATACTTTATAAAATTATTTATTGAAAATTAAAACTAATTCGTTTCATTAAAGATTTGTAGCTTAAATAAAATCAATAAAATGCTATCCATACGAGATAAGACAAGCTCGATTAAGTTTCGAAAAATTTACACAAAATCCTTTTTTCATCATTATTAAAAAAATTAGAATATGTTTTTGCGAACTGAAACTAAAATGAAATTTTTGAAAGTTATTGAATGAGAAATAATCTTAATTAATGAAAAGTTTAAAAGAAAGCAATTAGGTGATGCAGAAAATGTAAAAAATGCATTTCTTCAAACAGAAAATTATTCAAAAAATTACAAAAGTCCTCGTGTTATTGATCGAGGGACTTCAGCGCATTTTTGACGAAGCGATCAGTATTTGATTATAATTAATAATTTGCTGCAATGAATTTGCATATAGAAAAAGTTTATCATTTAACGGTTTTTTAAAATTTGAATTTTACAACGGCTAGAAAAAATTTGAAATTATAGAGGTAAATTTGAATTTATAGAGGTAAAACAAAATTTGAGCAGGTTACACTGAAAACAAAACAAAAACTCATTAATTATAGCATAAATACACTGCTTGAAGACTTTTAACTGTTCGATCGGACAATAAACAATAGTAACGGAGCTAATAAAACAAATCCGAGCTCTCTACGATGTCTGGTTGCAAAGTTTTTATGCTTGCCCGAACGAACGAACGAACGAACGAACGAACAAAGTGTATTATTGAGCTCCCTTTTCGAAAACAAGTTTTCAAAAATGCGCTAAAAAGGAAAGTTACTTGTGAAGGATAATTTACCGTACATGAAAAATTCCTTAGACTATGATAAGTTGACCTTGATGCTCAACTTATTTTTAAGCTTTATAAAAAGTTCAAACTTACTTATTTTAAAAGTTTACAACTCTGATGAAATGTTCCTAATTCGCCAATTGAATATACAAGCGTCTTATATCTTTAAGTTTTGTTTAAGCTTAAAGGTTGCATCATGTGTTTAAAAAATAGTTTAATAATATTTGACGAAAGAACTTTCTATTGAAAAACCTTACACAAATTGAATTAAAACATCAAAAACTTATTTTTCATGAATATTTAACAAGATTTCGTTGAGATAAATTGAATTTTTTTTTGACAAGTATCGTTTTGCTGAAAGTAATTCTATACAATGACAAGCGACCTTCACGCTTTTGAAAATGTTCACTGTATTGGTCATTAAACGTCTCGTCATGATGATTGCTTGTCTGAGTAAAATTCATTCATGAATTGTAAATGTCTGGTTGCAACTGGAAGTACAGCAGCTTTGACTGCTCTGTTTGATTTTAAACTGATTGAGCTAATAAAGATCTTAAATAGAACAACTCAATGAAATGTTTCTATCATGTGATTTTTATAAAGTTTACTTAATCAAGTCTTTGGATGATTGATTTTTTAAAAACTAGTAATGTACGGAATTTTCTTTCAAAGTCACACAAGTGTACTGAAAGAATAGAAAGAGCAATTTTAACAAGTTTTGTTGCTAAGTCGCAAATTAAATTTTGAATAAGGAAAACAATTATCAAGAAAACAAATATATGTAGTGAAATCCTTCAAGTCCTTTGTGATCTATTTAAGTGATAAATTCATGTTAGGTAATAATTCTGAAATTTATAGAAATTAGGAGAAAAACAAAGTTTGTCTTTATTAAAATTTTCAAATTTTTTTTTTATTTCTTTTGCAAAAAATTCTTTTTGTATTTTTTGATAAACTTTACTCAAATTAAAAATGTTTCTTTTTTTCATTTTCTCATGATCATATTTTACTTGTAAAATTCATATTAATAAGTAGATGGATAGTTTAGTAATTTGATGAAAATTAAGAATTAGGAAAGAGTTTTACGGACATTGTAAAGTTGGCTTGAAGTTTCAACTAATATTTCATAGTAAAATGTTAAATTGTGGTCCAGCATAAGTTGTCCATTAAACTAAAGAATCATAAGAAAATTTGATGAAATAAAGCTGCAATTTCATACCATCTGTACAAAAATAGTTTGAAATGCCATAAAAAATATGAAAAAGTATGTTTAGCCAAGAAACATTTATGTTGAGTTCATTAATCATTACACATTTAAAAAACATAAAAAGTTTATGAAATAATTAATGATAAATGAGAAAAACTTGTTGTTATTGTACGGCTATATGACAATCAATGTTTAATAATTGCTATTCATCGTTATATGTTTTTTTTATGAAAAATAATGGAAAAACTTTACAATTTTTTCCTTCATAAAATTTTTCAAATTTTATTTTCATTTGCTTCTTTTTGTGTCTTTTATTCTAATATAAAAGACATTACTACAATCTGCTTTGTAATTTTTTGTTCCTTATAATCTACGACTTTACTCATTTCGAATGCGCTTGGCGCTTTGAATCAAAAATCATTTTTATGTCATACCATATATTGTGATAACTTTTAATATAATTAAAATATGATTTCATCATTCTCCATAAACTAACATTTAAGAAACATAAACAGCTTATATTTTAGAAATATATGTCAATCTTGTCTCAAAAAAAGTTTTAGATCATTTTTTCTTCATTTAATAAAATGATCAGGAAATTTATGAAAAAAAGCTTTTCATTTTCATTTTATTTTAGCTCTTGTCTTCTGCTTGTCAATTACTGACATGCCGTAATTTATAATATTTTATCAAGCACGCGATGCATCTATTTTTATTGTTAATTCAGCTCGATCAGATTAAAAACTGTTATTTTGATGATGATTGAGGTTGGATGACTGCAAATTCATTGTGAATTCATTTGGATTGCTAATGTTTATGTGAATTTCACACGAATCATGATAATCGTACACTTCCGTTGTAACAATTTTAAGGAACTCGCTCGAGTCAATCATTAATATTAAAAATTCTTAAAAACTCTAAATTTTTACTATTCGAATCTTTGACCCACAGTCATTCAACCTCATCAAGGTTTATCTTTTATGTTATATCGTTTGTCATTTAAATTGTTTAAAGATGACAAATTTATTAAAAATAAAATAAATATTTCAATCAGTAGTTAAATATAGGATATAGATATCCTCATAATTATTGATATAAAATTAGTTCATTGAGCTTTGTAGAATTTGTTAACAAAAATTGTTTCTCGAATTTACCCATCCTTTCATAAGCCTGACTATCATTCACTTCTGTGTTCTAGCAAAAAAAAACACGAATTTTGAAAAATATTTTAAAGATCTCCTTAAGTAGAGTGAAATTAAAACTTTGTTAAATAATAGAATTAATGGCAAAAAAAAGAAACTGAGATGTATTAATAACTAAATATAACTTATACAAATAAGTACTTTAGAGAATATATTTATATATTGTAAGGAATAATGAAAATGTTAACATATTTTGTGTCATTTAAAGAAAAATATCATTGAATATTAAACTTGTCAAAAAAAAGAGAATACATTTTTTAATTATCTTTCGCGCGATTCTCTCCATTGATTGCATGATACAATCACAATGTTAGCGGATTATCATTCCACTTAAAAAAATGTAATTATCACAAACAAGTTGTGTGATCAAACCCTTGACTCCTCTTACCATGCTTCCTAAAATGAAAAAGAAGCAAAAACACTCGACAAAATGACTGCACAAATTTTCGATTATTTTTAAACCCATATTTGGAAAGACGTTTTTAACTTTTAATGCCTAACTCGTGTGGCATTAAGTTTTTATATAGCAATATTCGACTAAATCTAGTCACCATAATGCAAACGAAATCCAACCTCCAGAATAGGTAGTCTAGTTCCAAAAATACACACTTTGGATATATTCCACCATTAAACAAAATCCTTCCCAACGCAATATCAAGTAGCCTACATACAATTTATATCCTTTTCTGATTTTAAGAAATATTTAAACAATACCAAAATAATGCGTTGGAGTTGATAATGCCAAAAGAAGATTAAATCAATCGTGATTTTTGTAAACCTAAAACATTATTTATACTGAACAGTAAATCCGATTATTAGTCCTTAATACTTCATGAATTGTTATTTTAGAATTTTAATAATTCGCAATATCGATATTAAATTTGATCAAAATCTTGCATATTATTTCAAGATAATTTTACAGCCTCTTTGAACTCAATTTATGATAGAATCTAATCTTCCGAAGTATTTTCAACTCCATTTAATGAATTTTTTTAATGATTATCAAACGTATATGTATGGATAATTATAATAACTGTATAATGTGAGTAATATTAAGTATTATCTTATAAGAGATTGTTTGAAAAATTCCATGCTCTGAAGCATGAATAAAAATCATACAGTATTGCTAATTTTTTCCTTCTTAAGACAAAAAAAAATAATAATTGAAGCAATAATTAATCAAGTTTCTTGTCTGAATCATTCCATTTAAAAGTGAAAATATTTGGAAATAATTTTTTTTTCTGTTCTTTATAAATTTTTATATTCTAAGCTTGACATGCAAAAAATGGATATGATGATGACACTAAGTAGGATTTATTATTTTTCTTTAAATTTAATTTTGATGTTTATGTATATTTTCGAATTTTATTGATGAATTAATAAAGAACAAAGATGAATAAATTACAAAAATTGTGTAGTAAAAAGTTTGACTTCTTACTTTTGCTCTTAAATGTGTCTGATAAAATCGAAATCAAATTTTTCTTAATTTTTTTTTGTATTTTCTCTCAATATTTTTTTTATAGCGAAATAATTTCCAAAATTATCACAGAAAGAAGGTTTGTATTATTTTTTATAATATATAATGTTTCTCTTTGTTCACAAAAGGGATTTTCATTACTTTTTTTTTTCTTTTTTTAAACTTTTTATGTGGCGCATAAAATTTTCAAACAGACATTTGTTTCTTGACAAGCGCATCAAGTAAACGCAATTTGGCTTTCTTTTCTTTATATAATATATATGTGTCATCCATAAGTAATCTGTCAGATTTTAACAATTTACGTCCATTAACTTCTTCAAAATTATGTTCAAATTCTTTAATAGTTCGTCTCAATTGCTTCTTCTCTTCACGGACAGTATCAAAATGACTATACAGCTCTTTGATGCTCATTGAATGCAATTGAAAATTTTCCTGAAAAGTTGTCGTGACTGATGTGCTTGAAATAAGCGCTTGACCAGCTTCTAAAGATGTTGATGTTGAGCTATCTGAGGGTGATTGTATGGCGGAGTGAACTGACGGTGGTGAAAAGTCTGTTGATGGCGTGACTATACCTGATAACGCAAGAGCCTCATTCTCTAAAATTGTTGGCAACTCAGGAATTCCACTTGAAATTGAATTGTTGCGATTAACAAGACGTTTGAGGAATCTATAGCGATCATAAAGTGGACGTGCTGCATCACGTTCTTCTGACGTTCCTGGACGCCCAAATAGAGACTCAAAATATAACAAAGCGCGCTGAACAGATTGTTTTTCTTCTATCAATTGATCTGGTGTCATATCCTCCAGACGTGATGAACGGTTTTCTTCAATGCGTCTATCTTCAAGTTTCTATAATTGAAAAAATATTTATTAAGGCATAAAAATTAGGAAATGGACATTAGAGGGTCGAGAATTTATTTATTTACCTTTTCAATATCCTGTAAAGAGTCCTTAACTTTAACCATTTTTTTCTCAACGGGAATTGAGTCATCAAATTTATTTTTGTAGCCCATAGCTGTCATTGGATCCGATTTTATTTGACTTTTCTCCTTCCTTAGCTTATGTATTTCCGCAATGTAATTTTTAATATTTTTATCATTTGACTTGTCAGCATGAGAAGGTCGATAACCGTAGTTTGTTTCGAAGCTCTCCTCATAGGCCGAAATTTTCTTCTTCAACGATGTCAATCGTTTATTAATTTGTCGAATACGCTCATCGGGTGTTTGAAATATGGGTGAATGGCTCTTTTGATGTGTTTTGATGTTTTCAATATTCAAAAAATTATCATGGCGATAATGCTTTTTTTCGGAAAAATCAATATGATGGTACCTTGGAACAACCACATCATCATCATCGTCAATTGTTGAGTTATATTTTACCAAATCGTGGTCTTGTTTAACGAATTTTGAAATCGAATGATGAACATGATCAAATGTATTCTCAGCGAATCGTGGGCACACGATTGGCTTATCTTCAAGTGATTCCCAAGGATATAATGGCTTCGAAATTACTGGTGAATTTGGCAACTTCTTTTCATTTTCATTTTCAATAAAGTTGTCGTCATCAACGACAATTTTACTGTTTTCCTTTGCTTCCTCAGACCTACACATTTCTTCGCCTTCCTTAACAAGCGTCGGAGATGGAGACTTTCTCGAGCGACGTGGAGATTTCTTTCCTGATGTCTTTAAAAACCTTTCAGAATTTCTACGACGTTCGTTTTCATCTGTTAATTCATTAGTGTTAATTGGCGATAAATTTACACTTGTAGCTACTGTTGTTGAGGAACTATCAGTTGAGTTATTTTTGGAATATGATTCGATTTTAATCTCTTCATCAACAATTATCGAATGTTCCGAAATTACTCTGATATCTTTATTTTCAGTATTTGAGTTGTGTTCTTGCAATGGCAACGGATTGTTAAAATCTTCGTGCGATGAAACACGTCTTATTGCGTCGTTTTGGTCTTGACAACTTGGCACATGCTCCTCACTACTAGAACGGACAACTTTACGATCTTGTGTAATTGATGAAATACTATCTTGTCGATCTTTTCGCTTGCGACACTGTTGCTGATATTCAGTACTAGCAATTATGATATTTGGCAAATAATTTGATGAATTATTTTTGCTGTTATTATTGTTATCATTCGTGTGATTATTATTGATAGCTTTAATGACTGTTTGTGTTGAATTTACGCTTTCACTACTTCTAACTGATGCTGATGCGGTAAGACGATTTAAATCGTCTTCATTTTGTTCCGTAGATGGACGTCGCATGCCGCACTAAAAATAGAATAAATTTGAATTCAAACATTAATTCATTCATTTATTCAGATTGTTTTTATGAAAATTGCAATTTGATATTCATTGTGAAGGTTTCATTAAAATTTACTTATTTGTTGCTTATTATTTAAAATCCGAATTTTAAAAGACAAACGAACGTGTAGCTTAATTATCTTATACATTAATCATATAGAATTAAACAAATACTGAAATTATCTGCATAAAACTCAGAAATGATGACTTTATTTGAGTATAACAAAATCTTCTGTAGCTAGATTTTGTTATCTTTTTAGCATTCATTCTTCAAATATTGTTCTTCGTGGTGAGTAAATTCTCACATTTGTTGAATCTTTTTTTTATCTCAAAAACAAACAATCAGGGTATTTTTAGACAATAGCCTAAGAATAGCACAAAAAGATTTATTTAACCGCAAGACATGACATGAGGCCTTCATTTATGCCAAAAAGTCCTTTTGAAGCATTCTGTCAATAATTAATGTTTATTTTATAATTCAGACTTGTTGGGTTTCGACATTTTTGTATTATTTCAGCTCGTTTAAGACTAGCCAGACAATACACTCAGTAGTAGGAATTCATTAATTATATTAATTATAATTATATGGCTCATGTACTTGAGAATCAATAATAATTGAAACCTCAAAAAAATTTCCTTCATTACGTCAATAGAGAATTGTTTTTCTCTATATTTGCCTTTATATTTGATTCATGTGCATGTAAAAATAGGGACAACAATTCGAAAATTGTTCGTAACCAAGTAAGTGACTGCCACTTTTAAATAAATAATACTCGAAGAAAATAGTTTATTGAGAAAAGGCATTTTAATATTTGATAATATTATAAGCGATACAGCACGAATTGACTATGTGCCAGGTGCCATAAATTATGTTCTTCAATCCGAAAGAGTACTTGAATGTAATTTCTATATTTTATCTTTCACTCCACACGTTTGGTTTTTATGGTTTGTACGAGAAAATTCCAAAAATATAAATCAATTGCTACCAATTGGAAGTACTGATTAATCACATTGTTATAATTATCACAAAATGTATAAAAATAAACATTCTTTAATTCACGTTACCAATGATCCAAAAGGCACCAAGCTGCCATAAATCTTTGTTAATATTTTCATTTGATTTGATTGTTAATAAAACAATAAACTTTTTAAGGCACTTGAGAAGTTCACTTCTCAATCTCTAATTGTTGAATGATTGCAGAAAAATCTTGTTGCGAACTCTTTTATATGGCCTAAGTTACTATTTTTTCTCGTTCTGTATTTGTTGATAATATAAAATCTTATCAGTATCGTGAGAGCTTTGTCTTATCTCTAGTTGTTTACGGACAAGAAAGGTGTGAGCTTTACAATTATGCCTCTTTGTTATTTTGTTGAACAATACACAAAAATTTAATTTTTTATTGCTATCTTCCTTTGGCAAAATTTGATATTGTCCTTTGTTTTTATTGCTTCTCTGTCAGCCTGTTTTATTTCGCTACTAATGATATGAAAGAAATAACTACTGACTGTTGATATAAGATGGAATGTTAAGTATTGAGAAAATTATGAGAACTAAAACTGTGATTGGAATTGAAAACAATTTTGAATTTTTTAAGTGGGTGATGAGTCAATACACAATTATATAGACGCTTCAATACTTGGTTGTAAGTAGAGTAGGTATCTATATAAGATGGTAAATACACTCAAAATGAACCCTTAATACACCTGAATTGTTCGTTTTCCCTCTTCAATTCATAATTTTGTATTTAATTCATAAATTGAATCCTAAGCAACAAGAAGCAGAAATGGAAACCAAGTGTTGAAAAGATATATTATTAATATTATTATTGAAGAATCCTAAATTTTTTTCATTTCGAGTAATTCAGAATGAGATTGTTAAAGTTCAAAGACTCGGGGAGTAAAAAAAAATACAAAAAATATTTTTTTCTTCGAAAAAGGATTTTCCAAATAAAAGGTTCGATCAATTCAAAAAATTCCATCACAATACTTCCATTATGTAAGCACACATTCTCATCACATGATTTGATTTATTTCACTTCAGAGAATCTTGTTTCAGAATATGCCAAATTTTTGTTGTTAAAAAATCAAACAAGTTTTTATGTTGTGCTGAACAGCTAAGGCGAGAATCACATGGTTTCAAAATTTCCCTTCAATAAAAAGTATAAGTGACTCCTCTTAACAAGTTTAAAGCTAATTGACAGAAGAGAAAACAGAACTGCGAAGTTCCATAAAATGAAACAAAACCTAAGGCTAATATTTAAGCATTTATTTTTGTGTATTACTAAAAATACACCAATTGTTGTTTTGACACAATTACTCGAGTTCTAATTTAAATCTTTCAATCTTATTATTGTGAAATTTAATATTTTCACTTAAGTATTCTAATTTTTACTTGATTTACTACCGTAAAAAATGCGTCAATCCTGTTTATTGTGCTATTATGATAATTTTATCTATGGTGCATAGCTGAGACTTTTGTCTCATTTACCGATAAAACAAAAGAACGACTCATCAACTTTATCATCTCGTTTTATATGCGATGACACATTTTGTAAATACACATTGTGAATTATTCGTAGCAGGAAGATTTTCTCAATGCTGATGATTATATCATTTTAAAAAATGTTTCGCATAATTGTATCATCTCAAAACCAACAACAACAGTTAACTAAAGTAGTAGTAAAAAAATTCATTTGGAATTCCATCACAAATGATATTTAAGTAGCTTGCATATAAACTCTTTATCATGAAAACTCACAAGTCATTCAATTCCTCTTGAATATTCTCTTATGACGTCAATTTCTTAACTAATTGAGACCGTCTGTTCTACAATGCTATGAAAATGAATAATTTGATCTCCATTCAATCAAAAAAAAACTTTACTGTTGACAGCTTTTTGTACCGTGAACAGACAATATTTATCTTATTCAGTACTCTCCTCTAAATTGGCATGCATGCAAAGGAAATAAAATCAAACCGAATGGAAATTTCCAATAAATTCTCATTCCTTTTAAAAAATGCCCAGTCATGTAAAAAAATAAAAATTGAACAACCGTAAATTTTTTATCATGCAACTTTAAAGTAAACAAGTCAGGTGGATTTATAGCATAAGTAATGCAGACTTCTCATGATTAAGATTTAATAGCGCATTCAAAATATTTTATTCTATATGTTTTATGAAGTTCCCAAATTTTATGACTTGTATTGCCAATTGAAGAATTGTTTGTGAAAACTGAACAGCTGTTCGTTGTAAAATTAAAGTTGAGCATGCAAGCAACAATAATCTTTAAGTTTAAGGTTAATTCAATCTCAATGTAATCGTTTCGGAATTGCCGTAATCTTCAATTTTTAGGAGCCTTTATAAAACTTTTTTGTAGGCGTGTCGAGATCATCAAATGTCAGAAAAATTTATTGTGCTCTATAAAAACTTTTCAATTCTAGAATTGTTTTGAACTTCACACAAGAATTTAATAAATTATTCTAAGTCTTATACACGTCAATAGATTTATTATTGGTATCACGAGACTAATTAATATCCCTGATAATGGCAAAGTTGCATAATTTATTTATACAAACCTTTAAATTGCAATAAGTTAAAAACAAATTTAATAACTGCACGAAATTTTCAAGCTATAAAATTCAAAGTTATTTTCAATTTAAGGCTCCACTGACTTTTAGCAGAAACATTGGAGATAATGAAAAAACTTTTTTACCTTAAAAGCTTTATTTTCCGTCTTTTCCTTCTTCATTGTCTTTTTTGTCTTGCCATTTCCGATTGAGGAAATTTCAGAAACTCTAGAAATTGTTTTTAAACTACAGATTTTAGTTTTAAATTCGCCAACTCTGAATGTTCTTTAAATAGTTCCCACTTATTAAAGATATACAAAATATGTGGTAAGAATAAAATTCATGATAAAACCATTACATATCAAAGGATATCAACATTACTTTGCATACTGCTCATATTTCATCATGATATTTAATATCCATTAAAGCTTTTGTCTACAGATAAGCAATTGCACCAATAACTCGATACTTTAGATGAGGTTAAGCTCGTGTATTGGAAATTGATTCTTCGACATTATGGAAATAAATTTTTTTTATATTCATTAAACTGTAATGTGGAACTAATACTATAACCCAAATGATTTATCAACAATTTTGATTGCAATTGCCATTTTTCATGTCTATTTGATTGATCAAACGCTAAAACATTTGGATGAAGGGAAATGACAGAAAAAAATGAGGCAGCAAAAAAATAGGGAAACAATTGGAAATAAAAAGGAAATTTTCGCATTTTGATATCGACCTATATCTTTTTCGTGCTTTCAATTTTCATTCTTGTCATCATTATGAGCACGTGAAATCGTCGATCGCACTGAAATGAACGCGATTCATTTCATGTCCTTATCATTTTTCAAAATGAAAACAAACTGTTTCCTTTTTTGCAATAATAACAAACAGCAGACATAGAAGAAAAAAACATTCAATGCCATTTTGTGCTTTACACAGAAAGATGAAAGATAGCTTGAAAATAAAGTTCATATATTCATTAAGTATCAATTTATATTGTGCTGTTATATTTAGCTGTTTCATTATCGAATTTTATAGAATGTGTAAAGTCTTGACGTCACAAAGTCGGCAAAGAATTCAAAACATTATTAAGATCGATCAACAGAAATAATCTTCATCACATGACCACACTTATAGATAGGAGAATTAAGAAGAGAGAAGAATATTTATGTAATTTTTATGTGTCTATCAATTACAGCATAAAAAGAAGAGAAAACAAAAATATACGAAGAACTAATTGAAGATAAAGAAAGCAACGAGGTTATGATGATACTAATGAAATTGTTTATGGAAAAAGAAGTGCGTTTGATTGTGGGAATCGGATTTTTCTGTTGATATTCCTTATTAATAAAGTTTTGCATGCAATAATTCTTTTTTAAATTAAATATTTTATAACCTCTTTAAGTTTAATTTAAATATTTTAAAGCTCAAAAACAATATATCTTTAGAAGTGCCTAAATGATTCACGCTTTTATTATTATAATGTTCTGTTTGCCAGATTTTCAGCTCAAAAAATTAAATATTTATTTTTAAACGAAACAAATCAGCTGACGCAAGTTGAAATCATTAAATCAGCTCAAAACAAAAGTAATAATGTTTCGAGTTTTTTATCTTTCAATCATTTCATGTGACATCATGTCAAAAGATTAAATAAAAGTAAAATTGGATTAAATACTAAAGAAGTTTATTGTTTAAGCTTGAATTAATATGTATGTACTCCTTTGAATTTTATTTTAAATGAGTGACTTCTTTTATATGGGAATCCCAAACTAGTTCGTGTCTTGTTTCATCAAACTTTCATTTCATAAAATTAAATGGGAAATTCCATCATTTAATTAAGATTCTTAAAGGAAATTCAGAAATTCTTTTCACAGCTTTGATAACACAGCATTAAACTTTCTTTTAAAACTCAATCCATTCAAATTCTTTTCATATCAAAAATACAATCGATAAAAGTTCGAAGCCATAAAGCAGAATATAACATTCATGAATTGAAGTGTATAATCCTTGCTAATGATGTAATAATCTTATATAAAAATAATTGGATAACATAAAAGAACGTACAACCTAATCTCATCTTAATAATTGGATAAAATAATCTCGCCGCAATTCCAAACAACCTTGAAATGGTCAAAAATTCAACTATCAGTAGCTTTTGAATTTCTTTGAATTTGTTACATGTTACAGCGTACAGTAAGATAATTTAAGTCTTCTGCAGTTAAAGTAGTCAGTCTGACAAACAACTTTACAAAGTCATCTCACAAAGGAATTCGCTATAGAATTAAAAAAATTATTTTCTTGGCGACTTTACAAAATAAATTTGACGCATGAATGGCGGGACGAGAAAAGGAAGCAAGATAGTGCTAATGAAAACAAATCATTTAAAGTGTTGAAAATTTGGCCTAAAAATATAACAATTATTGTCATGTGCAGTATTTTCGCTAAGTACTTTGATTGAATATATGGGAAGTAAACACGAATGTGCTTCAAATACCAAGCACAAGTTTGAGATTTTCAATCAATTATTGCGTACTTTCATGCAGTTAAAATATTCTGTTTATATATTGTACATTAAAGGTGAAGGTTAAGAAGAAATGAAAATGGCAAAAAGCTTCTTTTTTTTGTTTGAGCTTACGTCGAAT